CCTTTATAGTTCTGTTATTGGTAAAGTAGGCGGTCTTAAAACATGTCGTTTAATCTATTAAAGAAATTATTCCACTTCAGCTCTAATTTGCTGCTGTTAATAGTCATGTGCACTCACATTTTTGGTGCAAGCAAATCAAAAGCAGTGAAAAAGAATTGGGACTACAATGGCCTAATTTTTTAAAATATACTTGGATGAGTGGCCAAAGAAGAAAACAACTTGCAAAATGAAACAAACCACACACACACACACACACACACACATAAATAAATGAAAACCCACCACTCAAATCCCACCAGGATTATACTTTTAGCATCAATAATTAACTTTAAGCACAAGCCTTAAAAAAGCATTGATTGGAAAGAAGAAAATGGTACCTTGCTTTGGGAGTCAAGAAATACACAAACTTGTACAACCACTGAAATAAACTGAAAGGAAACCCTTTTTTGTAACCTGTAATTAAATAAATATTTAATTGGACTTAAAAATGTAAAATTTTAATTCTACTGCTAATATATTTACTGCACAGAAATTCTCCCCCCCCCATATGTGAAAACTAATGCAGATCCCACACGTTCTAAATATAACAATGAATTGTTTGTTATAATTATGTCTCTTGATAACTGAACCAACATCCTGTAGTTAACATCTATGGCAACTCATTAGGAGGGATGAGCAAGCACAGCAAAATAAAGGCAGGAAGTTGCTTTTTAACTTCAGTGGTTACATAAAAAGTGCAAGTTGTTTATACTTGACTTTATGCTGCACTTAATCTTTAAGAGGTAGCATGGCAGTTTTCTAATTTCCCTGGAACTGAAATGGTATCTTCTTCCTAAATGCATTCAGTATAATTACCGGTACCTATACCCTAGAACCAGCTTAACTAAATCAGTTTCCTGTCTTTTCCTGTAGGCTCACATAAATTTACAAAATATGAGTGAAAACTACTTGTAATAAAGATTCTGGACAGATAAAACACTTCTTCATGTAGCACATAGTTATAAACTACAGAACTTGCTCCCACAGGAGGCAGTGATAGAGAACAACTTGGATGGCTTTAAGTCACAATTGTTTTGTTCTACACCCTCTGTCAGAATCATAGAATTGTAAAGGTGGAAGGAACCTCTAGGGTCATCTAGTCCAACCCCCTGCAATGCAGGAATCTTTTGCCCAACGTGGGGCTCAAACCCACGACCCTGCGATTAAGTGTCTCATGCTCTGCTTCTGAATAGCAGTTGCTCAAAATTGCAAGTTGCACTCCTATTATTGCGAGTTTCTCACAGGCATCTGGTTGGCTATTTTGAGGAACAAAATACGAGATGAGATGTGCCATTGGCCTGATTCAGTGGGTTTTTCTTGTGTTAATATACTTTTGCTCCAATTTAGTGATTGAAAAGAGGCTTTCGTCTTCTGGGTATTTCTTATGCAAAAAAAAAAAAATGTTCTGCGTGTAGATCCCATTTCAGGATTTTGCCATTCAGCATTTTCTGAGCTCCCTCTGCAGTTCCTGCTCTTGGACAGAGACTACAAATGAGACTAGCAGCTACGACTGCACAAGTCATGATGTGGGAGAGGATTTCTAAATCATTTTTTTATTATTACATACATGCCTCCAATAATTTCTTATCAATCCTTAATTCTCCTGTAATATGTTGCACTGCTTCCAAAAACAAAGTGAACATCTGTGAACATCAATTGGATATAGGGATCTGGTGGTTTCCTGTGTATGTTGAGATGGACTGTGCCCTTTGGATCTTGAAAACCTATGCCAGAAGAATATGAGAGGTCTTCAAAAGGTGGTGGTGGTAAGGAGATAATGGATGGTGTTAAACAAGTTAAGCAACTTTATTAAAGAAATAAAGGTAAAGGGACCCCTGACCATTAGGTCCAGTCGTGACCGACTCTGGGGTTGCGGCGCTCATCTCGCTTTATTGGCCAAGGGAGCCAGTGTATATAGCTTCCAGGTCATGTGGCCAGCATGACTAAGCCGCTTCTGGCGAACCAGAGCAGCACATGGAAACACCGTTTACCTTCCTGCCGGAGCGGTACCTATTTATCTACTTGCACTTCGTGCTTTCGAACTGCTAGGTTGTCAGGAGCAGGGACCAAGCAATGGGAGCTCACCCTGTCGTGGGGATTCGAACCGCCGACCTTCTGATCAGCAAGTCCTAGGCTATGTGGTTTAACCCACAGCGCCACCCGCGTCCCATTAAAGAAATACCTGTTGATAAATCCATCAGAGGGAGACAGGCCGACACCCTGAGACCTCTGCTTCTTCTGGACTATCTCCCTCCCACAGCACAGACCCATCAAAAACCTGTAGGAAGGACCAAGACCGGCAGGTGAAGACCTCAAGGTGCCTGCTCCAGCTGGTCTGGTTTTGTTTTAAAAACAGAGTTTTTAGTGCAGCCATGGCATTTTATGAACATTGAGAGCTGCTTTGAGAACACTAGAAAAGAGGGGTACCAATCTGTAAATGAATGAAATATCCATGTTTAGGTATACTATACTAACTCTGAACAACAGGTGCTGAGAACAGTTGTTCCCTTTATGCTCTACTTGTAAAAGACTGCTGTCTAGTACAGCCACTTGTTACAAGTTCACAGTTACACCACCAATAGCCACGATTGACCGATTTCAAAGCCTTCAGAAAGTTCTACCAAGATGTTGAAAATATGGTACACTTATATTGAAGAACACTTCCTTATTAACATTTTAATTCTAAATAAAGCACACTTATCCACACTTAGCTTTCCTCCGCTCTTTCCAGGCACAGTCCGCAATTTAAAGCTCTGTGTCTGAGCACCCTGTTTTTTTTCTCCTTTCCCTGTGGAAACCTGCTCTTTAAAGCTCAATAGGAGCAAACTTCAATGGAAAACATGGATTGATGTTTGCTCCAATTCAGCTTTAAAGAGTGGGTTTTCGTGGGGAAAGCCTGGGTTTTTTATTTATTTATTAAAAAAACTTTGGCACAGAGCATTAAAAGATTCTGCATGGAAAGAACAGGGCAAACGTTAACTGTGGATAAGCCTATAGAGAAGCTGAATGCCAGGGTATCCCAAATGTGGGAAGGAGCAGAAGTAATAGTTTAAGAGACCAACGTGTTTAAAAATGTACTTAAGACAAGGGTTGTAGTTTAAAAAAAATTAAAATCAGGTTTTATTAATAAAATAGCAAGCACACCAATTTAAGTGAAGAAAATTAGCTTTATGTAAATTAGAAAAATGACTTGTTAGAATTTTGTTCAAATGGTCAATTCTGTACAATTTACAATTTTATATACAAAATGTATAGCAAAATACAGTACACATTCCTGAGTCTCAGTTCTATGGATGATATTTTTTATTTTCTACTGATTATTAGATGGAAATACTGTAATTATCCTAGCATTTGGTTTATTTCAGATAATACTGGCACAAAAAGGCAATGGTTGCCAATACAATTCTTAAAACAATTAAAAGCTCACGCTATTAGTATAGACTTCTATACTAAAATACAATCCACTGCTAAGATGTAACGTTTTGTTTATTCCAATGACTCATTTGCAACTGAATACAATACAAGCCCACTTTAACAAATCTCCCTTTGATTCCTATGACTCTGAGTCAATACATCAAATTTGCCCATGGGGAGATCATCAAATGATCATGATAGAGAATGAGGTATCTTATGCAGAGAAACTGTGCATCAGAGCAGTTTTCATATTCTGAACAAAATATGAAAGTTTAACCACCTCTTTAGCATGATAAATTTAAGAAGATATTTCCTGCCTAGGTGGGATTTTGTGGGTAGTATAAGGTATGTTTAATCATAAGTATATGTGCTTAACTTTGGAAATGTAAATCCTTCAGATAATAAGTGGAGCTTCATTACAGTCATGAGAACTTAAAGTCCCCAATAGTACTTCATGTGTGGATTTAAGATACTCGAAAGTAATTTTACACACTTTTATGGACTATTATTATTTTATTTTTATTTATTAAATTTGTATGTCGCCCTCCATTCGAAGATCCCAAGGCAGTTCACAAGAGACCAAGAGAACATCCAATACTTTTTCTTAATGATGTCGTTTGCTAAATTAGCAGCTGGAACATGTTACAGCATTGCAAGGAATTTATGAATTAAAATTACAATTCAACTGTGATTGCAGTATTAGTATTTTTAACAACTACTGCGGCTTAGTGTTGAATAGTATCCCAGATTTATGTATCTGAGCCTAGTCAAACGATATTCCAAACCTGGAGCCCCGGTGGCAACAGCTGCCCCCTGAATTAACACTCCACCTTGAACTAACCACATCTTTGTGCCATTAATCCTAGTGCAAGATATAAATTTTCCTGTTTATGGTCAAAGATGCACATTTACCATACTCCATGGGAGCTAAACGTGAACACGTACTCAGTAATTCATTAGTATTTTTTGCTGAAGCAGCTCTCAATGCTTAACCTGCAAACTGCTTTTAAAAAATGACAAGTGGTTTGTTTTTTTAAAAAGTGTTGATGGTTCCACACTGGGAACTGATAACCAAAGTAATAATGGTAATAAAAAGCAATATATGGGGGCATGGATGGTTCTGTTACATTGTGCATTGACAAATCGGACATGATTTCCTTTGATGTATTTGTGCTAATATCAAAGTGTGAAATAAATAAGCATGTCAAGGTTCCTACATATTCTAATAAAGTCTTCATTAGGTTAGAATGCTGCAGAGCGCTGAGAGAGAACTTAAAAGAAGCTAGTAGCATGGTAAAAAAAATGATATAAAGTCTGCACCCTGATTGAGCGGGAGAAACCCTCTTCTGGATTGGGAACTGTGAATGCACAGCCTATGGGTTTCTCATGTCCATATACAGCAGTAATGGCTGTGAATGTACCGTATTTTTTGCACCATAACACTCACTTTTTTCCTCCTAGAAAGTAAGGGGAAATGTCTGTGCGTGTTATGGAGGAAATGTCTACGGGTGGCATGCCTACGGATTTTCCTCCTCTAAAAACTACGTGCGTGTTACGGTCGGGTGCGTGTTATAGAGCGAAAAATACGGTAGTTCCTACTACTGACTGACTCAGTAGGCAGGCAGGCACATGCATGCACATCTCTGGAATTGGGTTATAATGTGCTGATTTTCAAAGTTTAGCAGAATGAAATTAAAATAAAAACCGTACTTCATTATAAGGACAGCTAGAAATGAAAAGGGATAGTTTGCCATCTTTGATCAAAGTGCTTCGGATTTCAAACATTATTCACAGAAAGTTGGTCTTTAGCTGAATACTTTTCCCAGGGTTCTTGGAATGCCTAGGTGCTGCCTTGTCCTTGATGCTTTCCTGATTGCCCTTCACAGCCGATTCAAGCCTCGCCTTCATTGGCGGAGAAGAAGCCATTAGTTTTTTAAAGACCAAGGAATATTGCGGACCAATCTGCATCAGGTACTGTAAAGCAAACTCATGAAGACTCCTCGCTGAACTCGTAGCTGATCCTAGGGCATTCTCGTCCAAAAGAAAAGAAATAAGGATAGGGAGGAAGCAAGCCACTAGCTGAGTTCCTGTGAAAAATTAAAAACAAATGATTAATACCACTAAACATCATTGAGTTCAAAACATAAAAGCAAACCCCACTAAACCCAGCAGGATTTACTTCTAAGTAACCATGCAGTGGATTGCACTGTTAAAATCATTATTGCAACTAGTTATTCAGGCTTCCCCCCCCTCTGAGTGCCCTTCCTGGGGCCAATCTCAATGTGGGAACATGAGTGGGTTTTTAATTTAAGCCCTCGGAAGGGGTTAACTAGTGGCTTTACTGTGACAGAAGAGCCTTTACTTCTCCCTGTCTGTAGCAAGTACCCTTCCAGCTGCTTGCCACCTGACCTCCCCACCTTTCCTTAGTGGCACTCTGAGGCCAAATATCTGGAATCAAGCAGAGAATTCCACCGAAGAATATTTATATACAAAGAGATTGCCAACTATGGAAAAAGGTAAATGCAAAGTTATTAATCACATTTTAAAACCCAAGTGATACAATAAAATGTATTTTTGACTTTGGCTATAGTCTACAGGCTACTAAACCTAGCATATGTGATTTACACTGACATTTCACTGACTGGGTGGTTTATCTCCTCTTTCATTGTACTGTGCCACTATTTGGTTTGCTTTGTTATTGGTTAGTTTTGTGCTTTTTCATTTTCATAACTGTACTTGTTTTAACTGCGACATTTTGCAGCCCTTGAGTTGCAAATAATAAATAAAATACAGATAATAATCATGTCACAGACTTTTAATGGAACTGAGCTGGTTAAAAACACAACAGCAAAAACGGATAATTCTAAGTTAGCCCCATCTATTCCTAATTGTTTTCCTCTGCAAAAGGGAAGGCCATTGTTAATTAGCTGATATATTAACAGCGGCAACACAAAGTTTAAAAAAGCACACTTTTAATTAGGCTTAATGAATGTGTGCATTTCTCTCTACTAAACAATATCGGCAGGGAGTTCAGCAGTCACGGAACATACTGTCAGTCGTTTTGCAGTCCTAGATGTGACATTCAGGTTGCTAGATAGGAAGCTGGAATCCAGAATGTCCCAAGTTAAACAAAAACATTTTAAGCAGGCACCAAAAAGAGTACTGTACAGCGAAGGCAACTACCTGAGGTCAATCAGCAGGGAGTTCCAAGGCTGCCATGCTAAAAGACCAGTTTATTACAAGGGCAGAACAAATATGATGCGCCACTTGTAACTGTGCCATTTCCACAGACTGAAGCAATTGAGTGGGATCATATTTAGTGATTGACTGCTCTTCTACCACGCCCTTTCTCCTTAAAACCTAATATAATTGTCACAAATTTAAAATTACCCAGGGAAGAGTAACACAATGTGGCTGACAATAAACTCTTTCTGTTAAAATGAGCCCCCAACTACCACAGATCTAGACGTGACATTCAGGTTGCTAGATAGGAAGCTGGAATCCAGAATGTCCAAGATAGTTCTCCAAAACGCTACCCGTTCCAGGCACAGGGCAAACTAGACAGGAAAAGCTGAGGGGTTTCACCAAATGAACAAGATGGTGGTGTCAGGAGGAGGAATTTGGATTTGTTAGACTCTGGGTCATGTTTTGGGGGCAAGCTGGGTCTATATAAAAGGGAAGGACCTCACATGAACAGCAATGGAGCCACACCACTCCTTGCTCTTGACATCAAAAAAAGTGACTCAGCAGCTTTTAAACTGGGGGAAACAGATAGCTGGAGAACATCCATTTTGGAATGAAACTATGAGGAGAAGGATGAAAATGTTTCTGATCATCCAAGTGGGGACAGGGTAGATCAAAGCACTGAGTGTACAGTAGGACAGACTAGCCGATATGACACAGCAAATCACCAGTTTGGCACCATCTGCTTAAGGTGCACATTCTCTACATAGCATATTGTGTTCAGAAGGTTTTTCCAACACTGCATGCATTTGCTAGAATAGTAATAATTTAAAGAATACTTTTAGAAGTAGTCTCCAAGTGATGAAATGTTAACAGATTAGCACTGTCATGAGTCCTCAACATGTTGCCACAACTGAAATTGCATTAGCAGAGACCTATTTTAATTAGCAACTGATTCCAGATGTCAATCTATTTTGCCCTCCAAAAGACACTTACGATGTTCCTCCTCAGCGAGAGCTATAACAGCAGCCACGACTTTTATCCCTTCCTGAATAACCTGAAGTTCAGCAGAATTCTCAGGCTTGACTTTCTCCGTTTCCTGCAGTTTGCAAACAATTGATGATGCCAATGAATGAATGTAAGGATATGAGATAGTTCGATTTGGATACTGGAAAATAGTAAGGAGAAGCTGGTAGCATTTAAGTTGCACCTAAAAAGAAAAAGGGAAATTCCAAGTTAAAACACAAAAATGTAGTATTAGAGAGCACTGCTGAACTGCATGTGGGGGGATGCCCTGTAAATCAGTACATTTATCAGAAGCAGAAGACTGCACCAATGTCAGTAGCAAGATCTGCTTTCAGATACGGCAGGAAAAGACCAGACAGAGTAAATTAGGCGTATTAATGCAGGTGTGTTGCCAGATACCAGCATATATGAGTACACTGTCTTTCCCCCCTCTTTCTGGTAGCTGTAAGCTGTTCTATGTGCAGTGATCCTGAACTTAAAAGGTAAAGGTAAAAGGACCCCTTGACCATTAGGTCCAGTCGTGGCCGACTCTGGGGATGCGGCGCTCATCTCGCTTTATTGGCCGAGGGAGCCGGCGTACAGCTTCTGGGTCATGTGGCCAACATGACTAAGCCGCTTCTGGCAAACCAGAGCAGCACACGGAAATGCTGTTTACCTTCCCACCGGAGCGGTACCTATTTATCTACTTGCACTTTGACATGCTTTCGAACTGCTAGGTTGGCAGGAGCAGGGACCGAACAACGGGAGCTCACCCCGTCGCGGGGATTCGAACCGGCAACCTTCTGATCGGCAAGTCCTAGGTTCAGTGGTTTAACCCACAGTGCCACCCGCGTCCCTGAACTTAAAAGGTAAAGGTAAAGGGACCCCTGACCATTAGGTCCAGTCGTGGCCAACTCTGGGGTTGTGTTAAGGACTCCATATTGCCCAAATGAAAATAGAAGTGCTGAGATCTGTACAAAAAACAACAATCCTTCAGTATCAAACAGAAGGAAGCATACTTTTTAGCTTTTCCACAAGATGTACTATATACTATATATGCATCACAGGTGAAAAGACCCTTTCCCCTGTGGCCATTCACTTTACTTCGGATGGTGGAGGCAGCTGCAAGACAAAGATTTGCCTTCATCATGGGCTGAGAGATTTCCTACTGTTTGGCCCTACTCTTGCCTCAGTGATAATCAGTGGGCTCTGCTGCCTAGTAGGCTGAGGCTGAATGTGGACACCAGGGAAGACTAAGGATGAGGGCAGGAAATTTCACCAGAATAATTCAGACTCCCTAGTGTTGCCATGTTATTACTGTTTCTGATACCAAACCTGAATGTGAACTTTTATTTTGAGAATCAAGCTGCTTTGAGGGCCTCCTAGGCTATATAGTGAGATAGAAGCATTCTAAATAAATCATTCAAGGCTGAACATAAAAAACATAGCAATTGTAGAGTTCTAAACAATAAAAACAATATGCAGGACTTACAATAGGATCTTTAGATTCCATTGCTGACTGAAACTTTTCAATGCAACACTTCTGAAGGCACTCCATGGTAGCAACTTCTGGACTTGTAGACAAAATGAATATTGTGACTGCAGTCAGCAGACTACCTTCATCCAATTCTTGATGAGCACCATCTACCAATTAAAAACAATCTTAAATTTGTGCTCTGAAACTGGAGCATTTCATCAATCAAAATGCATAAATCAAGATGCTAAGATCAATTGTATCACAAATCAACAGATTTTTTAGTTAAACACAGTTGGCAGATAAACACATATTTTTAAGAATGTACATTAGATACTCTTAAGAACTTTTACTCAGCATGAACTATTGCTGGAGAATGTTTGAGCCCTCCTCTTTGGTCAGATTTCCTCCCCAGTGAATTGTATGCATTTGCTTTTTATTAAAAAGCTACAATATAGAGCAAGGGCGGATAACTTTTCAGAACTTTTTTAGTCATCTACAGTTAAGGATATGCCATGGATGAGACCTCTGCCTAAGCTCATGGAAAGTTGTTGGCTAGCCCAAATAGGTTGGATAATGGGCCGGACAGGTCATCTGTCTTAACACAACTTCATATACATTACTACTACTGCTACTACTACCATGTATCTTTCCAGAGCTGAGCCTTACTCAGGTGTGCTCTGGGAAGCCTCAACTCTGATTAAGTCATTCTTCCAGGGAAGTCCATTGGGAGAAAAAGAAGGAAAGGTGTGAACAACGAGTGGTATCCAAACGCTTTTGAAAAAAAGAGAAGAAAAGTGAGTAGAAGGCAGGAACAGAAGGTGCTCGGCTCTAAAAAGATGTACAACATCAAAATGGTAGAGAAAGCAAAGACAGGTATGGAAGAAGGGGAAGAAATGTGTGTAAGCCAAGTTCTGCCCAAAGTGCAGTGAGATTGAGAGAGCAAAGTAGGGACTCTGGGTAGAGGAGGCGGCAAGGTCTAAGAAGCAGCAGATCACCATCAGGGGAGAAGAAGCCAGCTGCCTACCTCCTTCAGCAACCCAACTGTCACATACCAGGTACCAGAAACTTGTTCAGATGCCAGACTTCGTTTTTTGTACCCAGACAGTTCTAGTACTAGACAGAATGCTGCATACTACTTACTAGGAGTCACTCACTGGTGTGGTGTTTATGATATTTAATTGTTGGCAGACCTCATCCTCCACTCTTATACTGCCTTGAGTTACATACCAAACACCTTCCTCAGCCTTAATACCTTGATCCCAAAAGTTAAGAATAGTGACCAAAGCACTGCGGAGCATTTCGTTCCAAGCAGTCCGGCTCTTCTCTGCCCGGGCCATGGGGGAAGACAGCACTCCTTTAAGAGCTTGTAACGATGAAGCAACAGTCAAAGGCAACTGGCCTGTGGGTAATTTCACAGCAGTTTCTCTGAGGACTCCAATAATCAGGTACAAGATAGTAGGAAGAACGGCAATGCTTCCTGTAGGATATGAGAAGGGGGTGATGAAAATATCATGGTTAAGAAGAAATAGCTCCCGGTGCACATTAAACAAAGGATAAGCATTGAGCTTGCATTTCTAGAATGGGAGGATCGCTCCCTACACGGCCTCTTTCTTCCTCGCAAATGAAACATCTTGGGAGCAGCCTACCTTCTGGTGAGCAGACTGCAGGAACATCAGAGAGGATCCCTAATGCCACTGATACTAGTCTGCTTCCATTCTCCGATAACAACTGAGGCTTTCCAGATGTAATTCCAGGGCTGCCCGTTATCTTAGGGTTAAGCTGAGGCAACTGCCTGACGAGAATGCACACACACATCTCCAGGGTTGCAAAGACTAAGGACTTTCCAGGTATCAGCCCTCCGGTGTCTTTGCCTTCTCCAAACTCCGGCAAGGTTTCCTTCTCTTCAGCTCCGTCATCAACTAAAATGGAAGGACAGAGATAGAGAGGAGTGAGGCCTTGTCAGCATACAGGTGAAACTCGGAAAATTAGAATATCGTAGAAAAGTTCATTTATTCCAGTAATTCAACTTAAAAGGTGAAAATAATATGAGATAGACTCATGACATGCAAAGCGAGATATGTCAAGCCTTTATTTGTTATAATTGTGATGATTATGGCGTACAGCTGGTGAAAACCCCAAATTAACAATCTCAGAAAATCAAGCACAGTAATCCCATGGGCATTGAACCAGGTTTTGGTACTTTTGGCAGTGTGGGCAGGTGCCAAAGTCCTGTTGGAAAATGAAGTCAGCATCCTCATAAAGCTCGTCTGTGGAAGGAAGCATGAAGTGTTCCAAAATCTCCTGGTAGACGGCTGCGTTGACCCTGCACTTAATGAAGCACAGTGGACCAACACCAGCTGATGACATGGCTCCCCAAATCAACACAGACTGAGGAAATTTCACACTGGACTTCAAACATCTGGCATTGTGTGCCTCCCTATTCTTCCTCTAGACTCTGGGTCCTTGGTTTCCAAATGAGATGCAAAAGCTGCTCTCATCAGAAAAGAGATTTGTGATTGATTGGCCAGCAAACTCACCTGACCAGAACTCCATAGAGAATCTATGGGGCATTGCCAAGAGACAGATGAGAGACATGAGACCGAGCAATGCAGAAGAGCTGCTATTGAAGCTTCCTGGTCTTCCATAACACCTCAGAAGTGCCGCAGGCTGACAGCATCCATGCCACGCCGCATTGAGGCAGTAATTGATGCAAAAGGGGCCCAAACCAAGTACTGAGTACATATGCATGCTTCTACTTCTCAGAGGTCCAAAATTGCTCTATTTGCAGTCCTTGTTTTGCTGATTTCATTTAATATTCTAATTTTCTGAGATTGTTAATTTGGGGTTTTCATCAGCTGTACGCCATGATCATCACAATTATAACAAATAAAGGCTTGACATATCTCGCTTTGCATGTCATGTGTCTATCTCATATATTATTTTCACATTTTAAGTTGAATTACTGAAATAAATGAACTTTTCCACAATATTCCAATTTTCCGAGTTTCACCTGTATACGCACCTTTTGAGAGGTCTCCACTTGATCTGCTTACCAGGCTGTGTTCAATGTGTTAGTATATAAAGCTCTTAACAACTTGGAGAGCAGTTTATCTACAAGATCGTCTTACTCCATATGTGCCCATGCAACTGCTTCAATCGGTAGAACTGGCCCTTTTACATGTGGCACATAATACCTGCACCACATCTGAAATATCTTGATCTTTTAGTGTGGCAGCACCAGGACTATGGAAATCCCTGCCTATTGATATCAGGCAGGCACCTGTATCATATTCCTTTTGGCACCTGCTGAAGGCATTTTTATTTAGCCCCAGCACCTGCGGCTTCTTTATTTATATAAATATTTTTGTATACTGCTTTCCAATCATGAGTGGTTTCCATACAACAAAACGTTATTAAACAATCACCATCAAAATACAATTAAAACACCAATAATAAAACCTCAAGCACACGTTTTGCTCCTATACACCAGTAATGAGTCCTGTCAGAACTAACAGCATTGAGAATATATACCTCGCATGCAACTCCAGAGGAAACTGGACACATTTATTGATGTCGGTCCCATATAAGTAATAATAATAATTTTATTATTTATACCCGGCCCATCTGGCTGGGTTGTCCAAGCCATGAAACAGATGTAAATGTCGTGTGCTTGTGTTATAGATTGGGTTTAACTTGGAGGGTTGCTTTTATCTGACACCTTATTTTGATACCGTGAATTCTAAGATACCTGGAGTTCTTCAGAAAGTAGGCAAATAAATAGAACAGGACAGTCACTTGCACCCATGAGGGATAGAAACCTCCTGTGCTTTTACAAAGGAAGGTTCTCCCAGCAGAAACCATGCCACAGAGTTCTTTTCTAAAGCATTTAAAAGGCAATGCCACATATATTACTTATGAAAATAATGCCATCTATGTAGATACAAGGAACAGGTCTGACAGGTCCCTACCTCAAGGCTCTTCCTGTCTAATAACAGACACAAAGGAAGCAAAAGAGGGAGGGAAATGGAAACAGAGGTCAACAGGGAAAGAATCTACAATTGCTTCAGCTGTGTGCATTTGAATTTTTCCTGCTGTGGAGGCACATAATTTGCAAAACAGAACTCCATGTTAACATGCATCAAAACTCCCAATTTAGCTTCACTCCTGCTATAACTGTACTACAAATTACCAGAGTAGTTTTATTCCCAGTTTTACCGCTGTGCCATAGCATGAGGATTCAATACATAGGAAGAACACTTGTGTAAGCACACCAAAGGCCCGTTTAATCCAGCAACCTCTTTGCCCACAATGGCAATCTCTCCACAGAAAACTGCTACTTAGAGGTGTATGCTGCTTCTAAACCTGGAGGCAGTACATAGTCATCATGACTAGTTGTTGCTGGTAATTTTATCCACCATGAATCTGTTTAATCCCCTTTTAAAGCCATCTAAGGGGTAACAAATTCCATCATTTAGCTGCACTGCATGAACTTACTTTGCTTTGTTTGTCCCCAACGCTAGAAATTGTAATTTTGTGAGGATGGTGAGAATGTTTGATTTTCTTAACTCCCTTTCACAATTAAAATACTTCTTGGGGAAGAAAGAAACAACAGTTAAGTTGTTTCACTTGTAGGGTATGAATGCCAACTGTTAAAACAAGCTACAGTAGTACCTCTGGTTACAAACTTAATTCATTCCGGAGGTCTGTTCTTAACCTGAAACCATTCTTAACCTGAGGTACCACTTTAGCTAATGGGGCCTCCCACTGCCACCGCGCCACCAGCGCACAATTAATTTCTGTTCTCATCCTGTGGCAAAATTCTTAACCTGAGGTACTACTTCCAGGTTAGCGCAGTCTGTAACCCGAAGTGTTTGCAACCCCAGGTGTTTGTAACCCGAGGTACCACTGTATATTAATTCTGATGCATACTATGCTTAACAGCTATGTTCATTATTAAAAGGAGGGAAGGCTTAAATTACTAACTAAAATAATCACTAACTAAAATATCACTAAAAATATCACTAAATAAAAAATCACTAACTAAAATAATCCTATATGGGCGCAGCTCCTATTTTCAGAAAGAATCTAATGCAGGACAAATATGGAAATAAATTAGAAATGCAGGTTAAAAATCTACTATTAGCATTATGCTACCGGTGAAAACAGGGACACGGGTGGCACTGTGGGTTAAACCACAGAGCCTAGGACTTGCTGATCAGAAGGTTGTCAGTTCGAATCCCCGCGACGGGGTGAGCTCCCGTTGCTCAGTCCCTACTCCTACCAACCTAGCAGTTTGAAAGCTCGCCAGTGCAAGTAGATAAATAGGTACCACTCTGGCAGGAAGGTAAATGGTGTTTCCATGCGCTGCTCTGGTTCGCCAGAAGCGGCTTAATCATGCTGGCCACATGACCTAGAAGCTGTACACCGGCTCCCTTGGCCAGTAAAGCGAGATGAGCATCGCAACCCCAGAGTCAGTCATGACTGGACCTAATGGTCAGGGGTCCCTTTACCTTTACCTTTACCAGTGAAAATAACCGCAACAATTTATTTATTTTTACTTACCATGGTCCTAAGATATTTATTCAATTCTAACACATAATAAGAAGGGCCCTGCTTAAGGGTGGCAGGAGAAATTTGAGCCAGAGAAGAGAGAAGCATGAAACCTGCGTGACTCGCAACTCCCTACCGTTTATTGTGTGAGATCTTGCTTGTTTTTAACTGATGTTGGTTTTCTCCTGTTTGTTTTCTTTTTTGTATTTTGCTTTGTTTTTATGAAGTTTTTATGTACTGTCCTCGATCAATATTTTGTAAGCCACCTGGAAATATGCTGGAAAGCCAGCATATTAAGTTAAATGCCAGCAAGAACAATACCTTCTGCACTTCTCCGTTTTTCCTTGACATGTTCCTGAGCTGCCAAAAGAATCTGTCGAACAACTTCTAGAGCAGCAAGTTGAATGTCAGGGGACTCTCTTGTCACTATAAGCCGATGTAAAACATTCAGCAGCTCAACACTCAGCTCCTGTATAAAGGGGAACAGGAAAAGTGTGGAACACACAATGCAGAAACACACATGGTGAAATGTATCACAGAGGACATTTCAAGAGTCCTTCACATTATGTCATGAGAAATCACGATGAGAGAAAACGAAGGAAGCAATTTCTTAGAGACATCGGGTAGAAGCAATTATTGTTAACACAGAACAATTCGTAATTCATACTTAGGATTTCCAATAGATTGTTACCTGATCACCACCAATCTTAGACCTTGGCCAAGGAACATCAAGCAGCACCCGTAAGGCATGTAGGCAAGAAGTAATATTTTCCATTCCTGCATCTGACCGAGGAGAACATAGAAATTCCACACTAATTCCTAAGAAGAGAGGGAGGAAATTATGCTGTGAACAGAATCAGAGTTGAATTTCCAATAAAACATCAGTCAATTGACTGGTTTGGAACTATCTGGCCCCTGAAATTTGACTTGTGCTGTTGTTATCCATCTTTTGGTACCAGATTTTTGCACCAGGCATTTGAAATATGATTTTTATTGGGCCTGTCCTGGGACGAGTATATATTAGTATTTTTCCGACTGTATGTTTCAGTTTTGTTTTGGTTTAAATTGTTATACACCCTGAGATAATTCAACATGAAGGGCAGATTAGAAATATTTTAACAAATAAGATATAAGTAAATAAAATTCCAATTCCCAGAGACTGGGAGAACTGGGTTTCAGATCCTCTGACATTCTGGGTTAACAGTTCTCAGTTAGATGGGACAATTAGCTCAATTAGATGGACCACTGGCTTGATTCAATAAAATAATGGTGAAATTCTGTAGTAATCCCATACAATGCAGAATTTTATCAACAGTAGCATATTAACCACTTCGACATGTGCCTAAAAGCTCATACTGATTTCCAACGACAATCGGAAAAATTACATGAGAAAAATAACACCAGGAAAAGTTCATGCATTTACTAACCCAAAACAAGATGAAATCTATCAGTGTTCACGTCTTCAGGTGATTTTACAGCAGCTCTAGATGTTGAATCTTGACACATTGTAGTTGGGGTGACAGGTCGAGAAAGGTTAGTTAGACCTTCATCTGAGTCACCTACAAGAAAACCTGTGCTGGTAAGCCACAATGCTGTTGCATGGAGAATCAATGCCCAGGAGTTTTGATAGTGTGGTCTTGAATTTTCAATTGTCTCTGCAGTATAGAAAGCACCACCTACAATTAAAAGCAACAAATGTTTAGCATATTCCAAACAGCTCAAGGTAGCTTTGTATTTACTACTTTAATGACACTTTTTATGGTTAAACAATGAGGAAGGTTTGGCCAGTTATTCTTTAAAAGTAATATTCACAAATCATCAGAGATGACTTCAGTAAACTTCTTTTTAAATTCTGCAATCTTACAGGCATCTTATCACTTATGCATCCACATTTTTGAAAATTTCATTTAAATTTTTTGCTGACATGTTACTGGCTACATTCTAATTTATGGAATAAGGCCCAAACTATGTGGCATCAAAGTTAATATGTATTTGCAGAATGTATTTTATGTGTATGTATTTTGATGAACTGAGTCATGGGGGTGGGGAAGGGTGTGTGTGTGTGTGTGTGTGTGTGTGTGAATTCAACAGTGCTTAGTTTGTTTTCGATTGTTTGTTAATCTTGTTAATCTTATTTTGTGGATTATGAGTGCAACAATGCCTTGTGAATCTTATGACTTGTGATGTTTAGTTTAATTTTTAGTTGTTTTGTTAACAGTATTTTACGGAAGGTGGTTGTTTTACTGTTGATTTGTAATTGTTTTGCTGACAATTTGTTACTTATTTTATACGATTTATGTTGTAATTGTGATGTTCTATTATTGGTATTCTCTGTAAGGCGCTTTGTGACTCATGTGATTGAAAAGCAGCATAGAAATACAATAGATTAATGAATGAAATGAAATTGTATTGTTCTATTTGCCTGCCTACCTTCAGCAGGAAGTTGAGAGGCAAATTCTGACGGCAAAGTTAAGAGAGTATAATCTTGGAGTGCAGCAAGCCAGAGTTTGCTCAGATTGCCCAGGTCTGCTTGGACTAGCTCCAGAAGTTCATCCACTGGAGATATTTGATCCCTGCAGCTCTCCTCTGTCATGTTTATTACCAAGGGTGGTCTGTTGATGTCGCTTTGCTTTTTCTGCCTTTGTACTGCAACTATATAGACCTGTTGAAACAACAATGTGAAAAGACAGTCTCAATGATAGGCCACTGAATATAGGAGCAAGACCTACTGGGAAGTGTTGCTGAGTTGTATGCCTTTTCCTTGCATAAACAGTTAACTTCACTGGCAACTGACTCCGCTTTTTCGTGTTGACTTTCATCTGACTCCAGTCCTGACAACTGAATGGACCAATGGTCTGACTCAGTATAAGCAAATAGGAATGCTCTCCAATTCCTTGAACATCAGGGTGAAATCCAGATGTTTTTGCCAAACACCACAACTCAAAACTAGAAGTTGACCCCTGTAGATATTCAAATGTCTGATCCACAAATTACAATTGCAAAGCGCTAATGCCACCATAAATATGTACATTAAAAAGTACCTCTGCCCAAGCTTTCAACACAGCTAGGATCTCCATAACTGATGTGCCTTCATTGTACAGTTGACTTTGGGCTTCTTGTCCCGCCTGTATTTTGGTCAAGGATGTCACAAGCAATTGATGAACCCTCTGAAGGTCACTAGGGTCACTTACTACACCACTTGCTATCCAGGCACTGCAAACCTAGTATGACAGAACAGCAAACAATATAGTTATTTTTGTAATGCTACAAAACACTATGCCTGGGTTTGTGCTCTCTTATTTACTTACTTACTTAGGTTATTAGCTTTCTCTCTGCTCTGGCAAACCCATTTTGCAATCATATTTAATGTTCAGAGGTGAAACAGTCTCAAATACTAATTTTTAAGAGATAAGATAAAGATATAATCTTTATCAAGGTTTACCTGTGATTGGTCAAGAGTTGATGAAATTTGAATTCTATATATATAGTTTTTAAAAACTTGCCTGGCATGCTTTTGCTGTTACATCAGGTGGTGTTTCAGAAGTAAAAGCTGGTCTAAGCGCTGCACCCACCTAAAATAAAATAATTTGATAACATGCTAAAAAATATTTGAATATTTTGAAGAAATTGGCCCAGTTAACATATTCTTACAAATCTGAGTATGATTCTCTTAAAAGGCAAAAGGTGCAACATGCAAAATTATTCCTAATAGTTTGCCAACTTGATGAACATTTCGGGACCAAGTTATACATTTCAGTTGCCACAGAGGCTTTCTGATTTCTGCTACTCTTTATACTGGTAATTTGGTATGCTAATTTATAGTAACATCCTATAAAATATTTTCCAAAAATTCATTTATTTTAGGCCAGTTCCACCACACATTCACAAAATCAGCTCTTGATTCACTACAGTGATGGCTACTGTTATAAATTCTATTCAGCCTGTGTAGTAAGACGGCAATAATATATTCCTTTATAACACAAGTCTTCAAGTGCAATGTAGGGTTAACTCTTAATATGCATTTTATTTTTCAAACACCTCTAGAACCAAAAGCCTACTTACATTTGCTTGATATTGTTCCAGAATCACATGACCTGGGAACTCTGGCTCCGGCACAGCAGCAAACTTCCGAACAAGAATTAACAACATCTGAAGGCCAGAAAGACGAAGCTGGTCACTGTGATCCGTGGCAGCCATAAAAGCCATGCGGATCAAGTCAGCTAAGTGCAGTACTAGGAAATCATCTGGCGGGGTGGGGAAGGAAAACATCATTTTGTTAATACAAAAAATGTATTTTAGTGTCGACACTTAAAGCATTCATGCCTATCTCCCACCCACTCTTCTTTCCCATCCTCTGAATTGTACACCTATACATAACTAAGCATCATTTCCTGCTGAACCAAGAAACCACTGATAACAACGGCAGATTGTCAACGTTCTGCGTAGAGTCAACATTTTAGGTGCAACATCTGGAAAAGTTTGCTTCAGTAATATTAACTTCCAGGGATAAAGCTGTGTTAGTCTGTAGCAGAAAACAACAACAATAAAAGGGTTTGACATCTAAAAGATGTAACAGATTTATTATGGCATTAACTTTATGGACCAGATTTCATTTCATCAGAAGTGTGAACCATTACCCTCAAGTTGACGTTTCTATATGGAAAAAGTAGGCCAAAATGGTCTTAAAATATTAAAAGTCCATGTTAATTCAATTAAAGTTCAAATGTCTGCAAAATAACACAATAGCAGCATTGGGTGACAAAATCCCAGATTTACTCTCCAGTCAAAAAAGGCTCCAGAGTAGTCTAAAGCCACAAGTTATAAAAACATCCCCTACCTTGAGGATTAACATCTAAGAGACATTACTGAAAAAGGAGGAAACATTGGGAGGGAGGAGGGGAAAAGGCAATCTCGGGCATTAGTTCATAGTTACAGAGTTACTGAAAATGCCCAGCTGGAATGGAAACAGTTCAAGGAGAGGATGAGCAAAATGTCTGGCCTTTCAGCAGAGCTGGCAGAAAGGATCTGTAGAACCATCTCTCTCTCCTACAGTCTGAGGAATGGGTACTGCTAGATGCCAGCTTAGCATATGTAGCAGGACAGGAAGCCATACTGTGGTTTGGTTTTTTACTCAAATAGCCATTTGACCCCACTGTTACATTTCCTCCCACCCATCTATATCCACCTGCCAACTGAGGACAATACAACATGTATCTAGTAATACTATCTGCATTAAGTTGACTCTAGTCTCTGAAAAGTTTGTGCCATAATAAATCTACAAACCTCTTTGTTCTTCAAGAGTATTCATTTTTCTCTTGCTCACAAATGAGCCTACTAACAATAATCTGAATACACACCTCAATGAATGACTATTGCAATAGCTGGAAAGAGATTTTGTTGGATCCCATTAAGCTACAGTTTGTCAAATTAAATTTAGATTGCAATCCTATACCCACTTACTTGCAGTTGATGTCTGCATAAACATGAAGACATACCTCTTGAATCTCTTTGCTTCATTTCTTGTGCCAGAGCTATGTCAAAGTGCGCGTTGCCTGCATTCTCACACTGGCCAATAATTTTACACACACACTCTGCAGCAAATACTCTAGTAGACCATCGAGGATGAGGGAAGGGGTGCAGCTTTTCATTGTTTTCCAAAGTTAATGCAAATTCATCATCCCCTTGAGCTCCCTCTTCTTCTTGGGTAGTGTCCACTGAAACCACTGTGGTGAAATCTGCATTGAGATACAAACAGGGAGGTAAGTGCAAAACACTTAATGGATCAGAGCACTGTTGCAGCAGTACCCATCAAAGACTTGGGGGTGTATAACAGGGCAGAAGGGGAACAGGAGGAATAGAGATAGGGAGGAGGAATGAGCAAGGAAACAGAGCAAGAGGTGTGGGGAGTGATGCAAAGGAAACTTATTTATATTAAAAAATGTAACAAAACTACAGTCGTACCTTGGAAGTCGAACGCCTTGCGAGTCGAACATTTTGGCTCCCGAACGCCACAAACCCAGAAGTGAGTGTTCCGGTTTGTGAATGTTCTTTGGAACTATCTTTGTCCGTCGCTGCTTCCATGACTTCTGATTGGCTGCAGGAAGCCTTGGTTCCCGCTTTGGAAGTCAAACAGACTTCCGGAATGGATTCTGTTCGACTTCCAAGGTACCACTGTAATAGAAACTACCAGCAGCTATATCTAGGAAAGTAAAAAAAGTCTTTCTTTGTGCCAAGAAGCAGGCATCAGCAAAGCTTTGCTAGGAAGAGAATCCCATAAAATTAAGTACCACCAGTGAGAAGGCCCATTTCCCTGGCGCCACTTGACTCCCTTCTGATGTCACTAGAGGAGGCTCCTCCTTTTCCTCTGTGGTCTTCCGACTTACAAGTTTTTATGAGTCACTCTTCTCACTTATTACATGAAATTACTTGTAAAATAGGTTAACATATCAGCTGATAGTATGGTCAGTTGATTCACTGATTCATTTATCTAATGAGAAAATCTACTTTCTAGGAAGAAGGCATCAGCACATACCAGCAGAGGCAGCTAGAACATCTTTGCAGAGTTTAAGCCAGAAAGAGAGTTTTTCCACTCCCATTGATATAAGCATATGGCTCAGGGTCTCTCTAATATCTTGGCATAGTTTTGGATCCAGTTCCTTGTCCAATAAGCTCAGTAATGCACCTTCAAGGCCTACTTCTCTGATGTTAATGCCTGTAAAAGCAAAAACAGTGTGATCTGAATTCATCTGCTGAGAAACAAGCATGAATCACAGCACTTTAAAGCTGACAAAAGTTTTTAAGTGCAATACTGTGGCAAAATATTTAACCCTGAAATAATAGCAAAAGGCTGTTGCTCATCTCATCTCTCTAGCATCCTTAATGCCCAAAGCATAACTAAAACCAAACACACTTCAAGACATTCCCTGCCTCCATACCATGACTCTGATTTCCCCCCATGATTCCATATAGTAAGAAAATGTCTTGGGGGAAGTGTCATTGTATTATTTTTAAACCTCATTTTTAGAGCCACAGCAATAGTCCAAATTGACTTATTTCAGCCCTCTGTTCCAACATACAGATGCCTTTTCTTTTAATATGAGCAACATCCAGCTCTCAGAGATGGAAAGAAAGAAAATGAAAGGAACATCACCACTTCTGACAGAGGTAGTCACAATTTAAGGGGAGGAGTTATGCTGATCCCTGTCCATTCAGACAGCAGACCACAAACTAGCTAGGTCAGCATGGGCAGCAGGCTCCAAAAGAAGGGTTGTACACTTCCATACCCCTCCTTCTGTTGGGTTACCTCTATGGCACAAAAGCAGCCATGGACGAAGCTGGTGTTTCAACAGATCATGAAAGCTACATTCCAGGTTACAATATAAGTTCAGAAATAAGCTCCTACAAGCCATTTACGTCAATCAAAATACTTATTTATTTCATTTGTATTCCACCCTTCTTCCCAAAGTCACCCAGGACATCAAACAACAAGTGATTATACGTCTTTAAAGTAATTCCAATACTGGGAACAGTCTCAGCTTAAAGAAGGAAGGTCTTCAGTAGGCATCAAAAAGACAAGCCAGGCATGCCTTTCTGAGCAAAGTGTGCAAATCAGAGACCAAACAGGCAAATAAAAAACAAGTGTCTGTTTCTGGACTCTACTGTTTTAGACTGCAAAGTGAGTCATTTCATTCAAAAAGAAAGAAAGAAAGAAAGAAAGAAAGAAAGAAAGAAAGAAAGACCCCACCAGCCTTGCACATACAAAACTAGCATGCAAGACAGAAGACTGAGACAGATTCATCTCTCTGGCATGACAGTTTTATAGGAGGATATAGTTTTTGATGTGGTGCAGCAGTCAAACTCCCAGCCCTTCAGTCTGAAGAACTATAGATTGGAACAGATAAACATGTGCCTTTTGTGCCTCCAAGCAGTCAGTTTGCAATACACAAATATCTGCAGGATTTTGCATGGCAAGATACAAGTTACACAAAACCAAAAAAACATTTAAAAGGGCAAAACATGATGAGCGACACCCAGCTATGGTGGCCTGCTTGTGCTAGCAGGACTCCCTGCTCCTCCCTCATCTAATCCCCTGCGTTCCCCCAGAATCTGGGGGTTTGGGAGAACATCTGGAGCTGACTCTGGGAGTATAGAGGGGAGAGGAGAGAGAAGTCCTGTTGCATCCACTGGTACAAGGTTGAATCTCAATATTACCTGGACTAAAGTCTTCTCTGCTGTCTTTAGCAAGGGCCACAGCATGTTCAGATACCTCAGCTGCCTCTCTTTGTACAAGCTGATGCAAACAAGCTAGTACTGCTCTCCTCAACAACAGATATGAACTAGAGAGATTCACCTGAAATATATAGACAAAGGATGTAATCTGGGTTGCACTTTTATAGGTGGTATCTGAAAGACAGGAGCCTGAAGTTCTTTAAGCAATAACATTTCTGAAACAAAATTAGAAATCAGATATTAGAGAAGAAAAAGCCAGAGGACAGTAGTAAAAATATCTGAGCCAACCTCCACTATCTTGACTGTGTCTGGCTGGTGTTAACAGTTCCATCTATTGTTTCATGTTAAGTTTCTCTGTTGTAAATCACCTTGAACACACTTGGGGGAAAGGTGGGATACAAATATTTGTTTAAAAGCAAATGAACAGAAAGATTTCAACTACTTTAGCTATGAATAAACTAAACCCTTATAAAATAAAACCTATTTTTGGTTGTAGTCAATTAATATACATCATTTATTATTTTGCACCTTCAAAGAAATGCCATTCACATCACAGGCATATAATCATTTTAAATAGAACATTAAAAATGTTATAATATGGCTAGGAAGTTGTCTTTTACTGAATCAGGCCCATCTAGTTAAGCACTATCCTATATTGACTGACAATGGCTCTCTGGGGTTTCAGACAGAAGTCTGTCCCAACATTACCTATCTGTGAATGATAATATAATAAGGGATGCTATGAATGGTGAAATATGGATGTCTTTCTTACATATACACAGTACATCAAAGATACTGAACTAATATAACACCAATCCTGGCCTGACTGCATTGACTGCCAATTAGTTTCCGAGCCCAATTCAAAGCACTGGTTTTGACCTATAAAGCCTTAAATGACTTGGAACTGCAATACTTCTCCCCATATGATCCAACCTGGACCCTGTGATCATCATCTGAGGCCCTTCTTCATACATGAGAGGTCCGGAGGGAGGCAACAGGAGAACAGGCCTTTTCTGCTGCGACTCCCTGCTTAGGGAATGCTCTCCCCAGGGAGGCTCATCTGTTGCCTTCTTTACATATATTTAGGAGCCAGCCTGCTTCTCCCAGGCCTTTGGCTAATTAAACAACCTATGCCTTTTAAACTAGGGCGGGGGGATTACTTTTGTTTGTTACCATGTTACGTATTTTTGTGTTTTTATATTGTAAACCGCTCTGTGATCCTCAGGTGAAAGGAAGTATAAGGTAAAGGTAAAGGGACCCCTGACCGTTAGGTCCAGTCGCGGATGAGTTTGGGGTTGCAGTGCTCATCTCACTTTACTGGCCGAGGGAGCCGGCTTACAACTTCCAGGTCATGTGGCCAGCATGACTAAGCCGCTTCTGGCGAACCAGAGCAGTGCACTGAAATGCCGTTTACCTTCCCGCTGGAGAGGTACCTATTTATCTACTTGCACTTTGATGTGCTTTCGAACTGCTAGGTGGGCAGCAGCTGGGACCGAACAACGGGAGCTCACCCCGTCATGGGGATTTGAACCACTAACCTTCTGATCGGCAAGCCCTAGGCTCTGTGGTTTAGACCACAGCGCCACCCACATCCCTTTGAAAGGAAGTATAGACACCATAACAACAACAACAACAACAGGCTCTCTACCAATGGATATGGCCAACTACAAATACCCACTATAGCAAAGCCTGCAGCTCTCTTACATTAGCCACCAAAATATGGCTGTTTCAATACTAGTTTAGAGAATTTCATCATCTTAATTTACAAACGCAGACATATTTAAAATGTACAAATTTTGCAGACTCATTAAAACTACTCTCAATAAATCCCCAAGCATATTAAACTTGCTGAATTATATCTAGGCCAGAATGATAGTATCTACTAAAATTCGAGTTTAAATGGAAGTTCTAAAATTACAATGAGACAAACTAAATGAGCATGGAATTATAGAGGAAGTTAACAAGTTCTTTATCATTTGCTATCTTGTGTCCATTTAGAAGCCTGAAAAATGGGGCAGAGCTGGATGCATGCTACAAAGAAACCTTGTTGGGAGGTCATGTACCTCATTTGTCAATGGGAACTCATCAGAATGATAGAAGTAACAAAAGGAGGTAAAATGGACACAAAAAGTGCTATGCATTCACAGTTAATCAAACCGAGTCTGCATCTAATAATTTCTTACGTTGCTGCATGCACACTAACTTATAAAGGTAATTTGATGCATAGAAAAATATGCCTAGCACATATTTAAGAAACCAAAAAATAATAAGATGTTTGAAGTTAAGATTTCAAGTATACAAATGCTTTATGCAACATTGATTCAAGCTGATCTCACACTGAGATTTATGCATGCTTAAAAAAATGCCAGTTCCTTTTTTTATATGAAAAAGCCAAAACACACAAGCTTAACTGCAAGACAAATAACAATGCCCATTTCTGATCTCTTTCATTTTTAAGAGACTGAAAATGGCAAAAACAAACAGAGGAAAAAAAACAGAAAAAATTGCAAGCAGTACATACAAACCACACATACAAACCACACCCACACACCCTTAAAATGGTGGTCTCTCTTTTTTTTTAGTTTAAGATGTTTTAAGTTAAACTAATGCAAAAATAAAATAGACACAAAAATAAAATATACACAGCAAAGTGTGTGTGCCAGCTATAAAAATGTTAAGAAAGAATTTGGTTAGACCGGAACAAAACATAACTCAACATGCTAAAAGTTTTTCTTGACATTAATGGTTAAATAGAGAAAATGAGAAAATTAAAAGAAGAACACTGAAAATTGCTGAAATTTTAACAGTGCACAGAGACCTACCAACACAGAATTTTCCAACAAGATCTCCTGCACAAAAACAAATGATAATCCAGTCATGACAAAACCTAGGTATCAGAACCCATAGTGATCCCAACCTTCAACAATGGAAAACAAATTTACTGCCACAAGATGAGCACTTGCACATTTCAACTTTCATTATGTATTACTCTGGGTCCTTAAAATGAAAAAGCCAAATGCCAATACTAACTGCTGAAAACAGCTTTCTTGATTTTACTGCTTTATCTTTTGTAAACTTGCTTTGAGGGTTGTTATTTTTTTAAAAAAACACAAGCAGTTTATAAATCTTATGAAACAAACAAACAAACAAACAATGAACTGATAATGTTAAATTGCATTTGAAACCAATTTATATTTTTAAATTTACACCAAAGTACTTGCTGCTTTTTAAAAAGAAAAACCAGACCATAATACCTATAGCAAGATGGGATAGTTCATATAAGGTCTTAATCTAGAGAAGCTCGGATGCTATGAGCAGTGCCTGCCTTTGGATTGCAGCCAAAAGTTGTCAGGAGCGATTCACAACTAGTACTCTGAAGTCCTAGGACCCCAACCAAAATGTGCTGCCAGAGCTAGACAGAGAGCCTAATCATCATACAGTCTGATATAAAACTATGTCCACCAAATCTCTACACAGTGGTGGCTGGGGCTCATTGGGACTGGAAGAGTAGAAGGCAGGGAGATGAAAAGTAGGTGGTCATAACCCAACTAATTCTAGTTTTGTCCCCATCCTTCTCTCTGCTGACTTCTACAAGGGGAACACGGAGACTAATGAGGAAGAAGCTGACAGCCAGGGCCTCCCTATGAACTGGTTTTAGGTACGTAAGTCATGGGGGGGCTGAGGAAGGCAGAATGGGCTAGTGAGGCAGCACCAATGAACTGTCTCTATAAAGATTTATTATAAAATAATATGTGGGAGCTTTTTCTCTTGGACAGCATCAAGTCCATATATTTCTATTCAAAAATTTCAGTATTTTAGAATGAAGACATGGCAAAAGCATTCACTAACTTTGTATGTTTCCTATGTCTCATTCCAACTCAGGCAACATTATTTTACAGACCTATCAAGGAATCATTCACTAGGACATATTGTAATGTGATACACAGATGCCACTAACTGCTAGCAATGTTCTTCTGCTACCCACACAGGACAGAACCAGTAAGTGGTTACACTAAAGGATAAACACAAACCAGACACCACACCGACAATTTTCAGGAGCCAGTGAGAGAACTTTGCAATATTCCAGGACGCTCTGCTAGTAACCAAAGACTCACCATACTTCCAACAAAAAATTATAAATTGTTTCCTCAGAACAATTTGTTCATTTTCAGTTCCCACAATTTGTTCATTTTCAGGTTTCAATGAAATTAACCTGCCTCATGGAAGTAGTGCATGTTTCAGTTTATGCATCTGAAAAAGTGGACTTTAATGACTAAAAAAGTTTGGCACATTAACCATTTTTAAAGCTGCAGTTCCAATGCTCTGTTTCCAAAGTTACAAAAAGAGGGAAAGCGTAACATGTAAATATGTACTTACACACAGGCACCGCACGAGGCTAGACAAGTTTACATGACGAGGAGCAAACATATGAAGTTGCTGAAGGCAAGAGATGGCTTGAGCTTGGACAAGGCAGTCAGGATTATCTTGCATCACTGCACAGCCTAGGAGACAAGATGCCCTCAAGGCTGAAACTGTAGTGCTGCTGCCTATAACACAGGACAAAGAAGGAAGAAGAAAGATTTCCCTCTGTCATGTTCTTTTTACTCTGTTAACAGAGAGCAGTTAACAACATCAAAAACTGCATTACTATTTGTTCAACGTGTGCACCGCCTACACTAAATCTTCTAGATTACTTCTAACATTTTTAAAAAACAGAAATACATAACTGAAAATACATAGGCTCAAACAATTAAGTCCCTGCGCTAAACAAAACTATATGTAAAAAAACATTTATCCATACAAAAAGGGCAATAATAGAAATTACAGAGATAAATTGGCCTGAAGGAAGATGTTAACTCTAAAGCCCCAGAACTGTGCAGGGGCAATGCATATTGGGACACTGGCAAGGGACTAGAGGGCTTTACCCCCTTCCCTGTGGCTGCAGTCCTAATTAGGCCCCCAGTGCTGGCCATTTGAATGAGAAAAAACCTGATTAGCTTCATTAGGAGTTCCTTCTCCCGCTGCCCACCCTGCAGACATGGGATCTCAATTCACATTGCAGCAGGCAGCAAGTGGTTGAACACCCTACCTTCTGTGCCAGGGTCCTTGAATGACCTCTCACCCTGCACTGGCTAATTTCTGCAATAAAAACCACACACCCAAGGGCAAAGAACATGGCCAATGTCACTTGCTTGGGCCTCAATCAGATAGTTGATCTAGGCAATCAGGGAGAAGGGCACCTATATGCACCCAGAGGGAAAATTTGCCTAGACCTCAAGACTAGTAGGGATTCTCCAGCCAGGGGAAAAGAGCACTGGTCATTTGAAGCACTCAAGAATAGAAGCATGCAGGTCACATTCAATTTATCCATTAAATGAGCTTTGAGGGCTACAAACTACACCAGTGTTTCTGAGACTTGTGTCTCCAGCTGTAGTTGGACTACAACTCCCATCATACCTGGCTAGCAGGGCCAGTAGTCAGGGATGTTGGGAGTAGTAGTCCAACTACAGCCGGAGACACCCAAGCTAATGATGTGATTGTGCAAGACTTGGGGGGGGGGGGAAATTGTCTCGATATGCAGAAGTCTGAACATTGTTTTAGTTCTTGCTGTACTCCATACACATTTCACTAAGTGAGAACTAGCAAAGCATTATCTCCCAGCTTCATAATCAACAGCCTGGTTCCTCTCTTGTCATTATGTCGCAAATATGTGCATACCTTGCAACTCAGGACCCAAAGTAGCGATAAGTGCATTTAAACAGCGACCAAGGCTTTGATGAACTTCAGCATAAGCAGGAGGCACAGTCAACAACAACATAAGAACAAGAGAGAGGGTAGGTTCCACATGCACGTGATACAGGGGACCAGCAGAATCAATGACCAGTGACAGAGAATGCAGTGCCCAGGTCTGTAAAATACCAAAAATGCTGTGCTGTCACACATACAAATGCACAAACATAAAATAATTCGCAAACTGTGACCAAAAAGAAAATTATTGTGTAAAATGAGTGTACTTCTGTGAGATGGTGCTAAATAATATACTAATAATTCAGTACGACAACATGACTGGAAATGATAGGAGTTTAAGATGAATGACCTGAAGAAACGTAATTGCTCCTCACGGCAGGGCTAAGGGAAGGGAGAAGTGAGTAAGTACCGATTCTGGCATACATGAATAGAGACATGATATAAACTGGCCTGTACTTTCTTGCCTTCCTCAGTGGCAATAGCAGCTCACTTAACTGCTGATGGTTTTTATTAGGTAGGAGAGGGAATATAATTAACTATATGTTATTCCCCTACATGCCCACGTGTGTGGGTTAACTGACAACATGATCAGTTTATATTTTTATCACAGTCGAACATTCGTCCTTAGAGGCAACATCATTAAAAATAAGTGAAGCTGAAATACTTGTGTTTACAGCAAAAACAGCTTCAGGCATATGCATGATGCTGGAATGATTGAAGGCACACCTCCTTCATGGCTGGCTGACGACAGAGAGTACTATATGCTTCTTCCTCTCCAGGAGAGGAGGGGGAAACCACATCACACAGAGACTTCTCTACCAATTACGTTTCTATGGTCTGAGTCTGCCTATAAGCAATACAGCTCTATGGCCTTAACTCTTAGAAAAGAATATGCATAGTTAGATTTGACTGCATTTCTCCCACACCTGCATCTAAAATGGAGATCAGAATAGATGGCCCTAGCACGTGTAAGAGGAGGGGTGTGGTGCCATGTGGAAATCCACGCAGAGTAGTTCTAAGTGTTCATGCTTATCTAAGAGCTGATCCCCCCCCCCTGTGTGTGTGTGTAAGTTCAGGGAGCAAACACTGTCCTTGCTGACCTGAGTTTGAAAATTCTATCACCCTCTTGCCCTTCATTCCTGTATCAGAAAAGCAAGTAGAGGGTTCAATAAACAGAAGAAGTGCAAGGAGGAAAGGATAGTGAATAGGGCACTTTGAACAGACACTGATCCTTCGTCCCAGATTCATGTGCCTTTCATGGTGAGTCTTCACTTCCCCCAACTCAGCTCAATATCAGTCACAGCCAACAAGAAGAACAACCAACAAGAGCAACAACAACCAAGTTAACAGCTCAAGGATTTGAAGTCTGCTTTTATGAAGGAAGACATACTTTACAAAATGACTATTAAACAATACTCAAACTAGATAACATTTTTTAAAGGTTTGCTTGTTCAGAGTTATATATGGGTGGGGTATAAATAATAAAACTGTTATACTATTTTTCCACCTGAAGGTCCTCAAAGCCACTTACACAATAAAAAAAGGAAAAACAGTTGAATCCAATAAATACCTGTACTTCAGGTGAAGTGCTGTCCTGAGATAATGTATAAAGTATTCCAACACAAGCATTCAGGTGCTGAGTGGAGCCTATTCCTCCTAGATATCTATAGAGGGATCCCAGAGCCAAAGAATGTCCTGTTCTTGATATTACATCTCTGGCAGATTTTAGTCTATGTATTATAAAAAATAAAAAATAAACTGGGTAAGAGATGCTTTGAGCTCAACTTGGTTTTGGGGAAAGTGTCACATACATGTTAAATCAAATGAAATTAGAATGGTGATTATAGCAACTGAGTCCAGCTTTACAAGATAATTTTAGTGAAGCAAAGAGGAACAAATATGCTACTGGTGTCAAGTCTCCTTACAGCTAAGTGGTATCCTCTGCCCAGAATGAATTATTTGCATCAATATTCACAATGGAAGATATACAGTAGCAGATCTCAAAACTGGTTTTTGCAGTTTGCAAACTAACTTTTGCAGGATGGGAATCTGACGAACTGAGGCAGATAGTGGTAATGAGAGATGAAGTTCTAGGCATAATACACAAAATAAAAACTAACAGATTGCTGGGTCTGGATGGCAATGTCAAATTGCTGACCTTCTAACAAAAATAGATAACTTGCCCCTCAGATCAGCTTCCATCCCTGAGAACTGTAAAGCAGTAAATATCACACCAATTATTTAAAAGGGATACAGAGTGATCCTGGAAATTTCAGGCTGGTTATCTTAACATTTGTCCTGGGAAAACTAGTGGTAATTATTGTTAAAGGGAAAATAATCAAGTTTATAGAAGAACAAGCCTTGATGAAGTAGAGTCAGCATGGCTTCTGCAAGAGCAAGGTCTGTTTCACTGATTTTTTTCAAGAATGTCATCAAGCATCTGGTTGACACAGTGTACTTGGACATTCAAAAAGCTATTGAGAACCCCTGGAACAGCGCACAGAGGGAAGAAATGGGAGATTTTTTTTTCATCTAGCAAACTTAAAAGCTTGCACAGATGGAACATTCATCAGAGCACGACAATGAACTCTACCCTTGAAGTTTTTCCTTACTTCTGAGTATATATGCATAGGACCAAGCAGTTCATTTTGTAGTACAGTGCAATGTAACAAAACAATGCAATAAGAAGTGTCTTACTTGTCAAAGCTAATTTGCACCAATCCAGCAGTGAAGGTACTGTCAGCAGCTACTTGTGCAAGTCTGGCTAAGGATTCTGCAGCAGAACATCTTAAGAGTGGGTTACTGCTTTCCAAGGCACTCATCACTAAGGTCAGGGCACAGCTTCGAATTTCTTCAGAACCTAAATTTCCCTTGCAGCTAGCCAAGTGCTAGAAGAAAAAAGATTTATTTATTTTTTAAAGCTAAATATGTAGATACAGTAGACAGAATTTTACAGGGATAAAGACTATCTATGCAATATCCCCACAGGAGTAGTTCCAAAGGTCATATTATTCTACCACTCTAAGCTGCTAAATTTTGGGGCAATGATGCCTGAAAAATGAATATAAAATATATAACCCATCTTCACGTGCATGAGCAGCTTATGAGCTGTAGGGAAAAGGTTTTTTTCCAGACAACATCAAGCAGATGACAACAGAGGTAGGTTGTACACATAGCAGTTTATTTTTCCATTTGACTCTAGATGCAAGAGGAAGATAATTATGTTGCCAGTACAGGACACCTCCAGCTATACAAACATGGTTTCCGTTAGAGAGTTTCTAAACAATAGTGGAATGTGGATTCCTGCATTGCACCAGTTTTTCTCCTTGTCAATGCAGCATGTTTTTAAGGTCAGAAAAGACTGTGTCCATCATGCAATTCCACAGTGTGCACGAGGTTAAGAAATAATAAACGTGCTCAAAACGTTAAAGAGTCTGTAACATGTTCCCTTCAAAAAATAAGTGTATAAAGCACCTCTAAGCCTAAAACAGAAAACTAGGGCAAGATCTGGTGGATGGTAAACAGAAAGAAAGAGAGAGAAAACATTTTAGAAGGGGCAAACAACAAATACGCATATTTAAAGTTGCATTTATTGAAATTATATTCAAACTATAAATTTTCTTCCTGGTGATGAATACTTACAAAGAGTATGGAATTTAATACAATGCCACAAATAATGTGATTTATTTTCAAGGACATAGAGCTCTCAGAAGTATTATTCAAATTTTCCAATTCACAGAAACAGCACTATAGTAACACCTCTCAATGTTTAAGGTATAATCACTTTTTAGCCAACAGACCTGTTTTTGTAACAAAGGGAGACTTACCTTCAGAACATTAGAAAATGCTGATAGAACATTTTGCTGTACTATCTGCTGCCGTGATCCTTTGGTTTGTTTTATAGATGTCAATAATTGTTCTAATACTTGCAACCTTAAACACACAAAAACAGGAGGAGACAGGGGATATAACTAATTTTTATGTTATTCAACCAAGTTCAGCAGATATCAGGTTGTTGAGCAGGGAACACTGCTTTTGCTGTGGCCTGTCCCCTAGTGTAGAACTCACTATTACCCAATGTGTCCCTAGGGTCCTTTCTCTGTTAACCCCAATCTAGTACACCTTTCTTTCTATCTATCCCTTTTAAAAAAGGCTATCATCCAACTTTATCATTCTAAGTAACTACTATAACACTGCATATATTTTATTATGTTTTTAAAAAGTGATGCATGTGAACATATTTGCATATATGGATATACACCCACACTTCATAAATGAAAAGCATTTTGCTGTTTGTGTTCTGCATTTTGCAAGATATTACGTTATGTAGGCTTGAGAAGACAGGTGGGAAACCAGTAACTATTGCTGCTGCTCCTACAGCGGCTGGATTAATATTCAAAGTGGCCAATCACAAGAGGCCGAACAATATCTTTTAACTATTCTTCCTCCCCACAGCCTATTCTGTTCCTACCTGCTCACCATCAAAAGACCCCAATGCGCTTGTTATACCGCAGATTGGTTTCACAAATGCTTGTGCACCTGAATTAGAAAATGGCAGGACAGGAAGGTGAAGGAGCTTCATGAGAAGTTGTGTATGCACATGAAATATTAAAGTAGAACTAGATTGGGAAACAGAAAAATGTTCATGTATGTTATTTCAAAGACAGCATTCCTTGGAATGCCAGTCGTTTTCAGGCTGGGATGGGTGAGTGTAGAATGGAGATAGCGGTGGAGAGCTCTTGCTTTCACGCTCTTTCTGACATGGCAGGTCACTACAGGCAATACACTGTGGACCAGGCAGACATATGGACTTCTAGCTGGACTTCTACATTTTTGGTAGAAGTTTCTGTTCTAAAGGAACCAGAAGGATCAAGATGTCTCAGACTTTTCAGATAGACATGAATGGATTTTGATCTGGGAAAACCAATTTCAAATCTCACCTATGCAGAATCAGGATGGGTAATAGCACCACTTTCTCAGCAATTCTCGGTAGCTAATTATTTTCACACATAAGCTAACCTAATTCAGCTTCCGTATAATATTTTATATAGATATATTTTTACACAGAGTCCTCAGGCCACATAACCATTTACTTTTTTTGAAATTCTAATGTGCTGAACATTGCAACATCCTGTTTTACATGCATTAGTCATGATCTTTTTTATTGTTTTTACCTTTGGGACTCTGCAACATGGGAAAATACGACTCCAAAGAGACGGGTTGCTGCTCCAATAATGGATAATGTTGGCGGTAAGGGTTTAGGCACAGAACCACCTTCTGCAGCTCTCTCATAAACCGAATATGGGTCATACTCCAGACTTCCACCAGCTATACTGTTAACTAGGAACAGCTGCAAAGATTGGAGAAGTGCAATTGTTATCACCAGACATCAGACTACCTTCTCTGAATGGGTAAGTTACTGCTGAAGCATACCTGCTCTTCAATAAATCTGTGCTCTGTCTCCTGTAGTAAGGGACCCAGTAAGTTAAGTTCATCCTGGTGACAGAGAGATGGAAGGTAAGCAGCAGAGGGTGACATCTGGTTATCGGGCTGAGTCAAATCAAGCACTAGTTCTTTGAGAACAGCAGAGAAGCTTCCTGTAAATTAAGGAGATAGAAGAAAATTACTTTTATGTAAAACTAGTATCTAAAGATATTATTGGCAAGGTGCTTAAGGACGTGATTTCTTTTTTATCTTTAACACAGAAGAATCAGGGGAAGTGCAAGTGCAGTCTACCACTGCCACAGATTCTGCAGTCAAGTCAACAGCATTTGGGGAAACTGCAGGGACACACGAGCCTCATCCCAGGAAATCCATCTTCATGATTATGGTACCTCCCTTGCCAAGTATGTATGGTATTTGGGACTTCTGATAAATGTGCCTTTTGGCAAGTCATAACACTAAACAAGTTAAACAAATGTGGAATGTCAAAACTTCATAATACAGTGTTACCTCGGGTTACATACACTTCAGGTTACAGACTCAGCTAACCCAGAAATAGTACCTCAGGTTAAGAATTTTGCTTCAGGATGGGAACAGAAATGGTGCTTTGGGGGCGTGGCAGCAGCAGGAGGCCCCATTAGCTAAAGTGGTGCTTCAGGTTAAGAACAGTTTCAGGTTAAGAATGGAGCTCCGGAATGAATTAAGTACTTAACCCGAGGAACCACTGTATCAGGAAAAGGATCCTATTAGCTATTTTGAGCCAAAGAAAAATGTAATGAACAATTTCAGAAAATCCCACTATTTGTAGAGCATCGTGGTCAGGTTGAAAGACAGCATGGGCACAAAAATGAATTCATGTACCTACCTTAAAACACAAGTTACTGAAGTAAACAAAAAAAAAATGTTTAACAGAATTACACTTTCTTCTTTCGCTTCAACACTTTTTAGCTTTTGTAACAGCTTTGTTACAAGTCAGGTTTGGTTGTACTGAACACAAAAGTTACTTTGGAATGAAAGTTATTTTTCTATTCGTATTCAGTGATTATGTGAGCAGAAGGCAGCTTGCATAACCAGTCCTTTTATTTCCCTACTCCATGTCTGCAACCTCCACAAAGCTTCTGTGAAGTGTTGGGGAGCCCTCCTGCAATTGGTTTGGTGTGATGTCTGAATTAAGCAACAAAGGCCATCAGAGCAGGCAAGCGGCATCTTTTCCTTTCCCAGGTACTCTCGATATGGCTTAAACTTCCTTCAGGTGAAACTATCTTTTCATAAACCACTGTATAAATGGCTTGCCCTCCTGGGAAACAGCTCTCTCGATTAGTATTTTGGCTTGATTACTATCCACACATTTGGTATAAATATAAATTCATGATGTTAAATTACTTTTCCATTAAAATAGGACTGGTTTGTCCATTTGTCAATAAAACAAAAAGGACAAGAACAAAACCTTTGGAAGTATTTCAGGGAAGTATTGCTTGATGACTTACCTCCATAGCTCTTTGGAGGCAACAAAGTAAGCAGTTCATAAAGTCTTTTCCTGTACATCACTGCTGATGGTTTTAAAGGATTGCCATAGGTTTTAGTTAGTGAAGGAAGCCTTAAAACATAAAAAACCACATCCTAAAGTTAAAAGAGAAAAACATCTATCCAACAAATTCCAGCTACTATTTTGCTTTGTACATCACCTAAGATTCAATGTCTGGAAAGCTTTAAAAATAAATAAATTAAACCACTATACAGCACTATATATGTACAGCAGTTCTCAAAAGATCACTCCCTCTAATGCTGAACTGAGGTGAATACAGGACGTTATGTTATACCAAGTTTCATAATTGTCAGTATTGTCTACTTTGGCCAGCGGTGGCTCTCTATGGTATCCGGTAGGAAGTATTTCCCAGCCTCTATCTGAAGATGTCAGGAATTGAACTCAGTACCTTCTGCATACAAAGCAGGTGTTCTACCACTGAGCTACAGCCTTTCCTCATCAGTGAGTCCAGACAGAATCAGAGCCAAACAGGATGGCAAGAATCCTGCCTTAAAACATTCTAGCAATCGGCTGAGTCCAGTAAGAGAGACCAAGAAGGTTCAGTAGGGTTTGAACATTGAAGTGTGGTAGGATGAAACAGTCTGCCTGAACTCCTTACAATTTATAATATTCTGCAAGAAGACATGGCTGTCTGGCTTCTTCTTAAACTTTGTGACCATACAAAAATGATGATACGTTTAAAAGGAAGAAAGAACTACTGCTTTTAAAAGGAAGAAAGAACTACTGCTTTTCGTGCTGCCAACACACATGTAAGGACCTGCTAACCAGTTTCTGTATCAGATATAATCTTGCACTGACTCTATGAAGGACTGCTCTAGAAGTTTCCAAGCAATATTTTCCTCCCTTCACCTATAAAATTTCAACCTGGATTGCCACATTAGTACAACTATCCGCACAAAACCATTACTTGGTTGATATTTGTAGAAAACAACAACAAACAACAAAGAAAACAACAACAACAAACAACAAAGAAATATTCAGTGCTTTTATTTTTTGCTATGAAATCAACAGCTCAAAATGAAAGATTTAGTTAAAAATGAGCGCTGCTCAGCAGCAATACTCACTGTGTCAGTAAAGCAACAGCACATGGGAGGGGAGGAAGCAGTCTTTGAATCACTTCATCTGTAAGGAGGCCCCCACAATGGACGATAAAACTTTTAATAGCTGGGGATAAAGGATAGTGACTATTAAAAAGTAGAACCTTTATTTTTATAATGAATTATAGATGTATACCTAGAAATTCAACAATAGAATTGTTTCATATGTCTAACAACTATTTCAATGTAAAAAGGCTTAATAAAAATAATCTGGTCTATTATAGCTAACTAGTAACATCTATTTCTAAACAGTAGGCTGCTGCAAATGGTCAAATTCCCTTTGTTTTACTGTGGAATGTTAAGAACAGTTCTTCTATGTACTTGAATCTATCATTTCTGCCATAAGTGGGAAACTGGGAAAAATAGAACATCATTTCCCCTTCAAAACACGAAGAGAGGGGAGAAATTACAAAGCAGCCAAAATAAATTCCACATACCACAGAGAGCACCTGCCCGGCTTTCCAGCGTCACTTGCCATGTAAATGAATCACCCCGGCTTTTCTCAGTTTCTAAATCTTTAGGCGATAATGGGAAAGCACATTTCCACAATAACAGCATTCTTGGAAGATGGTGCTGAACAACCGCTGGACCTATCATGTTAATATTGGACATTTTCTCATATTAATACGATGCACTAAAATTCTGATGTCAACAACGAACCTTCAAAAAACCACCTGCAAGCTGCCTAGAGGGTTCAAGGATGGTGGGAATTGTAATCCAGCAACATCTGAGAGGCGCATTTGTTAGCTGAAATGGAACTGCACCAATCAGGCATAAGCCACAGCACCCAAATGATCTAGTTGAGATTCCTGCATTGCAGGGCGTTGGACTAGATGCCCCTCCAAGTTCCTTCCAACTCTACAATTCTGTGATTCTTATGAACACAGAGTGCATCTTGCACCTTCACTATACAGTTTTTGGTGTATGCTGAAAATGCTATTTGTAACCCTGGCCTTTGATGCCTAAGAGATATATCTAGGGCTCAACCTACTTATACAATTGCAATTTGGTTCGAACAGTTTTTGATGTTTTATTTTAAATTGCTGGAACCTTGGGATGAATAATGGGTAATGAATTAAAATAATCACCAACACCGTATTGTGCCATGCTACACAAGCAGTCTGTACAGGAGTGGCAGGTGAATCAAAACGCTCGCAGCCCATACTACCACCTCTGCTTTAAACAATTGCTTTTCCTGTTGGGTTTTGCTTACATGTTCCGTTCATGACAAGGCTTAGTACAACCTGCTGTGCTCCTCTTTCCGCCATATGTCCTCTTGTGCAACAATCAATACACCAATCTAAACTCTAAGACTTTTAAGGTAAAAATGAAAATATTTTAACTAAAATCAGGAGTGTCGAGGCTTCCACCTGAAACAGCACATATACTGCAGCTTGGTTGGTGCATATGTAGGCCAGTAAGAGGAGCTAATGGGGAAATGAGGAGCTGGAATTAAACCAATCAGCTGTTCAGCAGAGCATAAAGACAGGGGAAACAGAATCCAGCCCCCATCCAAAAATAGGATTCCAGCTTTGTAGATTGGCCTGTGCCTGGGCTAGGCAATTGAGTGTGCATAATCCCTAGCTAGAGGTGACATGAATTATTTTGCATAATTACCATGAGCTCAATAATTCAGGGAGGAATTCAACCTTGTGTCAGGGCAAGCATTTCAGCTTTCCCTCTCTCCCTAGCTCACACACTTTTCAGAAGGATCTCTCAACCCCCACCCCAGCCACTTTCAGGGGGATGAAAAGCCCTGGTATGCAAGCACAAGTCCTTGTCTAGGGCTTCTGCTGAAGGGATTCATTAGTTGAATCTCACACTTACCTTTTCTTGATGCATATTTCAGATTCCCTCCATGCATGTTAATGGTTGTTGTTAAAGGGGGGGGGGGGAGAGTTAAGATTGCTAACTTAAGACTGACTACTATTGTAAAAACAAATGTATGCTGCATATAGCTACCGACTTCACCGTTTCTTAACTTTGGTGCTTATTAAATAATTTAAAAGTTACTGCTATAAGAAAAATAAAATTATACAATTCAGTATGGCTTTAAAGATGTTACAGGCTTAGCGTGCAACCACTTTTGCCTGTCAGTGCATGAGCCAACTGGATAACTTTCCCACCTACTGGGCACGGTATGGAATTCTGATACATACTTACATATAGCAAAAACAATGGCATTTAAACCAGAAATGGGTAAACTTTACAATTTTCAATGCATGCCCTTGTGCTGTAATGGGAACACTCTCAGCAGAATAATAATGTTGTAACTATTTAGGTTATCCATGTTCCCAGGTTAATCACCAGCTGGGTGGGAGTGTTTACTGAGGTGAATAATTAGAATATAAAAAGCCAGGATTTCTTCCTTGCAAAATAAACTAAAAAACCACCATACCAAGCTGATGTGCAGAACGCCACATTCATATATTGAAATAAATAATGAGAGGGCTAGTCAGTCTTACCCAATGTCATTAAGGCAGCTATCAGGAGCCATCCAGATTGCATTCGTTGTATTGAGATGCGGCTATTCTGAGAAGCAGAACGCAACAAATCCTCAGCTACTGTCATGACTGCCTGTGATAAAAAGTGATGGTTTTTGCATTAACAATGAAAATACATAATTAAACACTTTCCAAGAAAGGCATGCATATTGTTTCTATATACCGTATTTTTTGCTCTATAAGACTCACTTTTTCCCTCCTAAAAAGTAAGGGGAAATGTGTGTGTGTCTTATGGAGCGAATGCAGGCTGCGCAGCTATCCCAGAAGCCAGAACAGCAAGAGGGATTGCAGCTTTCACTGCGCAGCAATCCCTCTTGCTGTTCTGGCTTCTGAGATTCAGAATATTTTTTTTCTTGTTTTCCTCCTCCAAAAAGTAGGTGCGTCTTGTGGTCTGGTGCGTCTTATAGAGCGAAAAATACGGTATTTAACAGCTCCCAAAGAGGATAAATGGGAGCTGTTAATAATCAGTAAAATTCCAGAGCAGCCACTTTTTAATTCTGGTTAGCAAGGAAATCTTGTGAAACCTTAAAGATGAACCAATGTATTGTGGTGAAAGCTTTTGAGAGCTCGACTCCCATGTCTTTGGATGCTGTGAAGTGGCCTTCTGCATGTGAGAGATGCATATTATGCCTTCTGACTGGCCACTCCTTTGTTAGGCAATTGTGTTTTATTTACTGCATTTCCCTTGGACTGGCTCCAGAGGCTGCTTCATGAATGGCTCCTTCTATTCACAGAAGGCGCCAAGATGCAGCAGAGGCTCCTAGCTGGATGAACAGGGGTGGGTGGACGTGATGTTCAAGGATCCTAAATGATTCCTTTTGCCTGCAGTCTGTACATCATTTTTCATGTTGCCCTGAAGGGCCTTACAACCCTGGAGGACAGCTTTTCAGGCAGCTGCAGGAGGAAAGAGGAATCAGTAAAGATCACCTCCCCGTTCTCTCAGAGTAGAACTCTGTTCAGAGAAATTCTGGACTGAACCTAATTGTGATTATTTTAACTTACCCTTGTTTTTCTCTTGTAAGTCACTCCAAAAAACCTCTGGTAGTAATAGTATTTATGTATGCATAAACAAAACAAAATGTTGGTTTAGAGGCTTAGAATGGTGGAGGGGATAAGCTGGCAGTCTCTTGTTACTGAATAAAATACCCATCAGAACTTGGGATGGAAGCGCAATAAGGTATGCAATAAGGCTTTAATGGCAAGAGGCTGTTGTTTCCAGATGTTTGGACCTCTACAGTGGCAGCAAATGCTTACACTAAAACTGCCTCCTATTTTGCTCGAGATCCCATTGGACTTTTAAAAAATGGCAATGGCTTGAATATTCAGTTTTTAACGAAAATGTATAAACTGCTTGTGCATATTTTCTAAAAAATCAAAGTAAAGCTTCAGTTACTTATAAAACATGATTATAATACACAAACCAATGAAAACAAATTTCATTTGTTAATCGTTAGTTAAAACAAACATAAAATCAAGAAAACATTTAGAAAAAATTTCACTACATCATGTGTCTTGCTGGAGCATAAAATGTTCAGCAGGTGTCTGAACTGTATAGTAAAGGCACATGCTTAAAGTCAACAGCCAGGGAGTTTCAAAGCAAAGGTGCTGCCATACTGTTATCCATTGCTCCTCTTTAGTTAGGCTTGTAAATGCAGGCACTGGACAGATAAGCACCTAGATTAGACTTATTGGACAGTCACACTTCAGTTCCAGAGAGGGATCTTGAGATGCATATGGCATGCAAGCAAGACAGCTGGCATGCAAGCTACCCACTTCAGATCCAGAGAGGTAGCAATGAAAAACAGAAAGAAGATCCCTTGCCAAAAAAGCTCCCATCTCCCATCGCAGAGAAGCAACTGATCTGTGGATGTACTTCTAATTAGCCGTTTTAAAAGAAAATCTTTTGCTTGGCAAGGCCAAATGGGTTTCACTTCCATTGTTCAGGAACACAAGGCTCAGATTCCCCCCACTGACAAAGCTGCGATGTCTGTGGGAAAGTGGTGAGCTATGGTAATCTGCCAATTTAAACTAATACCACGCCAGGATGAGGTTATGGAAGTTTGATTCTTTTAAAAGAATTTCACCAGCTCTTAAAGAGATGGAGAGAAACTCCATGAATTCCAAAAACATCAAGCGACTTCCTCAGACAAGAATTCCCCCATCTCTCTTAGTTCGGTCTATTATCAAGAGCAGTGTTAATTTCTCTATTTAAGAAACAGTAATTGTTAATATTTTCATTCTTTCACTGACCTTGTGTTTTTGTTTTTAAAAAATCAATTCATTGAGGATTATAGTCTGACCAAAACTAAGGAACATCGCACTGAAGCTTACCCGAGAGTAAGTGAACCCCTTTGAAACCCCTTTGAAAGCAATGGGGTTTACATGCCAGTAAATATACTTGATTGTGCTGTTAGTTATATATCAAGAATAGAACGCAACACTCTGTACAAATCATTTATCAGTGTAGCTAAATGATACATGGATGGAATAAAAAATCTTAGATCTGGTACTCTCAGTGGTTGTGTTTCACAAAGCATATGGTCTAATACATTGAAATGGACCAACCAGTCATTTGAAATATTCCAGGTTTTTCAACACTTTCTTCATCATGCACAAATATTCCCTGCAGTGAGGAACAGGCTGTTAAAAAAAATGTTGTCTATAGCTGTATCAAACAGCTGAATACCAGGACCAAGGTTCAAGTAATTACCTTTCCTTTGCAATGTGGAATTCCTAAAGGACACATTCTGACAGCTCCCAGTAGAGCAGCAACAGCAAAACTGTAGCCAGTCACTGCTTCTGGGGAGGATTTGAGTGCTGTGAGCCGCTCGATACAGCGATCCAGAAGTGGCGAGAGAAAGCAGGGCAGTGCCACAGCAATGCAGCGCAAACACCATGCCGCTGCCAGCTGAACCGAAATACTGGGGTGGATAAGAATGGACACCACTGCATCCAAAACCCCTGGAAAGTCAGAAATGTTAAAAAAATCAGCACAGCAAATTTTCAGGAATGGTACCTGAGCTAGATTCACAACTGACTTCTGAACACACTAATGAACACCATACTAAGCAATTCTAGGATGCTTCATGTCATAAATTCTAGGATGTTTCGTCTTGCTCTTGACCATGTAACTGCTAGTTTTCTCATCAAGCTCAGAAACTTCAAATATTTTAATTATCCTTTTTTCTGTTTTCTCCTGCTCTTGGTCAAGCTATCTCATTTTCTCTCTACGTACACTATCAAAAAAAATTGTTCACTGTCTTATGGCTTCCTGCATTGACTACTGCCGCAACATTCATCTGATATGATGGTGCCCATATTATAATTTTCTGCTCATTCCTTTACTCTTTTAATTGCCATCCCATCGTCCCTCATCTTCATTTAAGCTTCTTGTACTTACTTTCAAATTGTTCCACAGTCGATATTCTCTCCCTGTATCCTCTTGCCTGCTATCTAGATACTAAAGGATCCAATCTTCTAATTATATGTAAGATTACACTCTCTTTTATTTGCCTTTTCACTTGCAGCTCCCTATCACTCAGATGTTCTACCTAACACCCACTTTTCCTTTATGATCGCACACCCACCCTTTCAGGTGTTTCCCCACGGACACTCCTTCCCCTTTTACCTTCCCCCTGCTTTCCTCTTGAAAAAGTCTAATCTTTGATTAGATTATAAACCTGGAGGAACACCTACCAACCACAATTTCTATACAGGGCATAGTGAGTTTAAGGTGCTTTCTAACTAATAAACATTATTATTACATAACACTATTGTAGTGTTGTACAAAGCTAAGTTACCTTTAGTAGGGGAAATAATTCTGAGAAACTTATCACAATTGCAACAATTCACCTTCAGAGTCTGCTGTGAGTAGTGAACAGCTCTTTTCTCATTATATTTCTTTAAAATACTCTTTTTGTAAGATGTGCAGCCAAGTTCTAACATTTTATTTAATTAGAAACAAGTATCGCTATTTTCAGATAACAGTTACTCCTAAGTAAATGCAAATAGGTTAAGACCTAAATAATGATTATATAGAGAATATATCTATTTTAACTAAGAGCCAGAGTATTTTGTGTCCTACATACGGCTTAAGAAAACAGAGTAATGAACTTCAAATCTGTGTTGTTGTTATTTATATGCCACTCATCTGACTTCAAACAAATTATAAAACCACAGGAAAGCATCAAACATTAAAATCTTCCCTATATAGGGCTGCCTTCAGATGTCTTCAAAAAGTCAGATAGTTGTTTATTTCCTTGACATCTGACAGGAGGGCGTTCCACAGATTCCTCCCCTCCCCTTGACAACATGAAAACTGATTCCAAAAGCCCATTCATCACACATCTCCTACATATTATCTGAACTAACATAGAATCTTTACTCCATAAGGATTTAAAACACACACACACACACACACACACACACACACACACAAATTGGGGTAATCTGAACCTGTATTAGAATTTGCTTTAATCCTACAGCAAGCTGATTAGACCAAGGTACCCTTAACATTTTGTTTTCTTAAACTGATTCTTTATATGATGAGTTTCAATGATCCAAAACATACATTTCACAAAATCATGGAGAACAAAAGGTATGATCCATTACCTGTACTAGAATCTTGTAGCACAGGTGCAGCAGTAGTGCCTAAATTCTGAATGAGGTTTCCAAGCTCTTCCAAGGAACATATAAGCATATGCTGGCTTGCTACCACATCTGTCGTACCAACACGGGTTTCCACGTTACTGTCACTCATGGCAGCATCTAGTAATATGAAAGAATTGTGTGATCTTTGCTACATTAGACAAAACAAGAGACTTAAAAGACTAGGAGGAGATAGCTGGTACATCGACCATATCTAATACGGTTTTGCAGTAAAAGCGGGGCTTCATGAAAACATTGATGGCAGGAGACATCGAGTAGCAAAAAAACAAAGATCAGCTGACAACCAACTTTGCAGATATTCTCTGTATCTGCACACGTGTATAGGACAATAGAGATGTGCTTGTTAAGAGTATGGTAGACCATATTTTGATGCCATGTTGTAGCAAACATAGAGGTCCAAATCCAGAGAATGTTTCTCATATGGAAGGACCGCTGAAATTAATGAGTCAAAGCTAACTTACCCTATTGATTTTGATGGCATATTAACTTTCTCTGAATTTGGGCCCAAGTCAATTGAGAAGAAAAAGTAGGTAGAAGGGCACTTCAGTCAATGAACTGGTGTGCACATAAAACTCTCCCAATCGCTTAGCCATGGAAGCAGTTCGTGGAATCCTACATTCCATTCTCACAGTCCCTTCCCTTTCAAGTGTGAATAGTCCTTACTGCTAATACCAATCTTAACCATTTAAGTCGAAGAAGAGTTGGCTATTAACTATTATTTGAATCAAAGGTTTGAAGCCAATTTCAAAATTCTGGTTAACAGTAAGCCCTGGTTAAGCATATCACCTCCATATCCTGCTTCAGAACCAAGCACTGAATATTCTCTGTTTTGAAACATATATATTTGAGCAGCAATGAGTGGCTGGGGGCCCATACGTTCCCAGAGGCCGTATCTTCTCATACTTGCCCTGAAGAATGGAAAACTGGTACTGCAGACGATCCCTGCAGTAAGTAAGCAGGGCTTAAAGTCATCACCTATCAAGTGGTTGTCAGTGCCGTCAAGCCCACTGGATTGTCATAATCTAGATTCCAGCATTTCTGACACAACATTCATTGATGCAGTGTACAAACACAAACCTCCCATTCTGAGAGAGACTAATGGACCATATGGTTATTTTATCTTGATGATGACTAGCTTGATGCCACAGGGAAGTTCATAACCAACGAATATGTGCATGATTCCCACACCAGTTGAAAATCCTCAACAGCTAGAAGTCAGTGGTACACAATAAGGTAAAAGTAAGGGTAAAGGACCCCTGGACAGTTAAGTCCAGTCAAAAGCAACTATGGGGTTGCGGCGCTCAACTTGCTTTCAGGCCGAGGGAGCGGGCGTTTGTCCACAGACAGCTTTCTGGGTCATGTGCCCAGCATGACTAAACCGCTACTGGCGCACGGAGGACCGTAATGGAAGCCAGAGCAAACAGAAACACCGTTTACCTTCCCGCTGCAGTGGTACCTATTTATCTACTTGCACTAGCATGCCTTCAAACTGCTAAGTTGACAGGAGCTGGGACAGAGCAACAGGAGCTCACCCCGTCAAGGGGATTTGAACCGCTGACCTTCTGATTGGCAAGCCCAAGAGGCTCCGTGGTTTAGACCACAGCGCCACCCGTGTCCCTGGTACACAATGTGCAGTTCTGACTCCCATGGTGTTTAGTCAGTCATCAGACTTACCCTCCACATAATAACCTTAACCTAAATTATGGAGAAATATTAAAGCAACTGATAGGTATTTTAATTATTATTCTGAAATGAATCCCCAAAGGGCCATGTGGATTTTTTTTCAGATAAGGCATCGCTGGAGATGCAAACAGTACTGCATAGCCTTCATGAGCAGATTAGGAAATGATACAAAGTACTAGTGAAAAGGAGGGGGAAGGGAGAGCACATAATCTTGTTAGTCCCATACCCACAACTTTCTTCAGCTTCCAGATGGCTTGACAAATCTCCTTGGCAGTTGCAATTTGAGCTTTCCCCCCAAGAAGGCCTCCTACTGTAGCTCGGAGGATAAATGAAATACAGCGGCGGCGACAGATAGCGTCCATCTGAGTCTGAATAGCTTTAGGGTGAGACTGGGAAACGAGGTCCAGAACATGGGAAAGCAAGGCAGAAAAATTCCTTTCAAGCCACTGCCCTCCCAGCGTGGAGATAAATACCACATATGCCTGAAAGAGATTTGATTAAAATGCAATGTTTTTACATCAAAATCTTCTCAAAAATATAATGCAGTATTAAAGAAGTCATAAAAGTTACCATTAAATAATATTAACAGGACACCAAAATAATTTTGTTGATTTTTTTTTTTTAAGACAACATGTTTCCAGCTTCATTATGTGAAGTAAGGTGGAAACAAACTGGCTTTTAGTCATCTAAGCCAAATTTAGATGCTATGTTGGGGGCAAAAACTGCTTTAAATTAAACCAGTAGCGACAAGGCAGCTAGTTCCTTTAGCCTCTTCCTCTCTTATATTTAATAGCAGAGCAAGAGAAACAGCTATTACTTGTTATGTAAACTGTTGCATTTGGCATCAGTATACAAGAACTTCCAGCAATTTAATATTATGCATGTAGCACCCACATTTAGTGCAAAATGAAATTTAAGAATTATTAGTTTACAATAACCTACACGCTTGTGGGAATTAGGGCATTTTTACCCTCACCCTACAGGTTTTATTTTTTAAATGTTTGCCATGACTGGACTATTCCTTCTTATTACAAATGAATTTTAACTGTTTGCAACTTAATGAATCAGAACAGAATGGAAGAATATAGAGAGCCCTTATTCTGAAGAAAAAAAATATCTTACTGGGTATCAACTTCTACTCAATGCAGTTGATAGAGCAACCTCATAAATACTACATCCACACTGAGAATCACATTGGGAAGAAACACACCCAGAAAGAAAATCAGTGTTGCACTATGCTGACTGTCCTGTCAACATAAGCATTGCAGAATGCCAGATAGAATTATCCACCTCTCCTCCTCCTGAGCACTGTTTTCAGGGTTCTCCTGCACCCCAAAACAATTTCGGGGTCATGGGGGAAAAGAAAACCCATCGCATAAGTGGAAGCCCTCACACAGGAATTTTGGTGACAGGACTCATTAGGTGTATCCCCACCAATATATTGAATTAGTTAGTAAAGGTAAAGGTACCCCTGCCCATACGAGCCAGTCTTGACAGACTCTAGGGTTGTGCGCCCATCTCACTCAAGAGGCCGGGGGCCAGCGCTGTCCGAAGACACTTCCGGGTCATGTGGCCAGCGTGACAAGCTGCATCTGGCGAGCCAGAGCCGCACACGGAACGCCGTTTACCTTCCCGCTAGTAAGCGGTCCCTATTTATCTACTTGCACCCGGGGGTGCTTTCGAACTGCTAGGTTGGCAGGCGCTGGGACCGAGCGACAGGAGCGCACCCCGCCGCGGGGATTCGAACCGCCGACCTTTCGATCGGCAAGTCCTAGGCGCTGAGGCTTTAACCCACAGCGCCACCCGCGTCCCCATTGAATAAGTTATGAGAGTGTTATTTTATGGCAATCTAACTTTAGAATTTTTTTTAAAAACAGGTTTCAACATTATTTTAATTGAGCACAGAGAAAATAAGAAAAAGTAGTTGGAGGACAAGATCTTTAGTAGTTTAGCTGAACACATTTTCTAAGCATATTCCCTTCAGGCTTTAGACATGAAAACACAATTATTTTTCTTCAAAAATGTGCAGCAGAAAGAGCCCTAAAATAATTTTCCTGAGTAGCCTGCTACAGGTTCTGGACTTCCATGCATGATGGAATTGTTTAAAGAAGAAACTGTAGCTTTATTTTTATTTTATTTAGGGTATTTTGAAGGGACAGCTGGCCTCACCATGCAGCAGGGTGATTTGCTTGTTGGACAGTATGGGGAGAAGAGAAGGAATGAATTAGTGTTTCAATAATACAGCAAGATTTTTTTTAAAGCATTGGCCCTACTGGGGAGGGGATTTGGGTGTCACTTCATACTGGCACCCTATGAAGGGCAATCAATTAACAGATGGCGAAGTACTAATCCCCTCCCCCATACCGGATTTGCATTCATGTCACAAAAATCCTCAGCTCTACTGACTCTGTAACAAAAAGTCTCAGAGACTAAATTGCTAAATATGAAACTGCTCTGAGATTAGTTAGTTCTCTCTGCCATGGCTCTCTGTCCTTGACAAGTCACTGATCCGAAAAAATGTGAAAGATGTGTCATTTAAGTTGCTTTATTAATGCTTAATCAAGGAACAAGTTCTTTCAGACATCAGCTAAGAGCAATTACATGTTTGTGGGAAACCAGTCAGGCTCATGGTTTGTTTCTCACACAAACCACGAGTGAAAGCCAAGGTTTTAGAGAGAAACAAATCATGAGCCCAGGTTCAGATGAGGCAACAAGTCAGACCATGCCTGGTTTCCCGGCAGTGGAGCAGCAGCAAGTGAAGGAGGAGCAAAGCTCCTGCGATTTCAGCAGCATGCACAAGCGCACTGCTCATTCACATCAAGCCATAGTTTATTTTAACTAAGGTTTAATGTGACACACGGACCAGATCACAGAGAAGGCCTCACCATTACAAGCTGCAGAATATAATAGCTCTTAAATGAAAGCAGAAGGGTTTTTTAATGTTAAGAAACATTTAAAAAAAATATGAAAAGACAATGAACTAACTCAAACATTATGAAAGAAAATTATAAATAAACATTAAAATAATTTCATTATTAGCAAATTAATTTCTCTTTCAAAAAGAGAAATAAGCACCATTTGCATCCAAGTAAAACACTGGGATTATTAGAATATTAGTAATTAGTCTTCTGTATAAGCCTGTAAAATATTAACATGTAAAATCAATTAACTAGTTCAATACTTTCACAGAAAAACAAAGCAAAAAAACCAAAATAGTAACTTTTACAATATATAACATAATCAAACCTGAGTGACTCCAACTCTAACATCCCTGCTGACCGAGCTTGTCCCTTTCAGAATATCACCACTGGCTCGTAGAAATCCTGTACTTCCCCGAAGGAAACCTGTACCCAGAAGTTCCAAGGCTTCTTCAAATGAGATCTTGCGAACATTTTGTCTGGCAGATGCTTTTTCAATGAGGGGGGGAAATGCATCCACATTTATTTATTAGTTTCTACTGTGTTACAACAAAATCATAACTAAAATTAAACATTCAGTTCATACGACATAGTTATTGGATTAAAGGTCTGAAGTTCAGTCTAATCCTATGAACATTTATCTGAAGTAAATCTAAATTCATTGGACTTTCAAGTATGCACAGAGGATCACAGCTTATGTGTTTAAGCCTTATGTAACAACCCTGAAAAACCATGTATACCACCTTGAGCTCCTCGGAAGATAAAGGAGGTATATAAATGTAATAAATAAAATAAAATGTGATGAAGTTATTAGTGTTCACTGGAGACACTGGCTGAAGGCACATACGACTAAATATCAATGAACATAAGCTTTGGGAGGAATACACACAGTTGTCAGTGCATGAACTCACAGGAACATTTGCATTTGGTTTCCTGGATGAGGAAGATGGCTTAGCAAGGCTTATAAACAGTATAATTCCTGATCAAGGTAAACTACAGGGTTGTTGTTTATTTTTACTACAGTACGTAATGGAAAAGATGAGTGAAAGCAAGCACATTTTACTGGTAGTTTCAGGCTTAGGAAAAAATACTATTCATTTCCAAATTTATCTAAGGGGAGCAGCAGGCCTAGAAGTAAAACTTCAATATCACGAATCAGTCTAAGTGTTATTGAAATGAGAATGGAGCACATTAAAAGAATCCAAGTTGGATCAGTTGTCCACTAAGGAGTGCTTCGATTAGGAACAGGCTATTCAAGTTGAAACATGACTTCACAGTCATTCCTCTCCTATATTAACAGCCATTTTTCTCTCCTTCCTTCTGTTATTCCCTGCCTTGTCTGCCTTGGGTGTTTATCCACAGTGATGCCCATTTTGGAACACGATAGAGCATGCCAATGCTGCTGACTCCTATATCCCATGGATAAACTGTTAATAGATTTATTTACATCTATAATCGACCTCTTTAAAGGTAAAGGTAAAGGTAAAGGTAAAGGTACCCCTGACCATTAGATCCAGTTGCGGACAACTCTGGGGTTGCAGAGCTCATCTCGCTTTACTGGCTGAGAGAGCCGGCATTTGTCCGCAGACTTCCAGGTCATGTGGCCAGCATGACTAAGCCGCTTCTGGTGAACCAGAGCAGCACACGGAAACGCCGTTTACCTTCCCGCCGGATTGGTACCTATTTATCTACTTGCACTTTGATGTGCTTTTGAACTGCTAGGTGGGCAGGAGCTGGGACCAAACAACAGGAGCTTACCCCGTCGCGGGGATTCGAACTGCCGACCTTCTGATCAGCAAGCCCTAGGCTCTGTAGTTTAGACCACAGCGCCACCTGCATCCCTCTTTAGCTACAGCCAAATGCATCATATGTATATAAGCTTAGCCATCTGAAATCAGTTTCCAGTTGTCAACTGGAAGTATAGATGTAGTCAGGTTTACGGGAGGGTTTGTATAAGAATGGAAAAGTACAAGCACCAATCTTGCTGAAACACTCAGCACACATCTGATTTCTAGGGTGTAGGGCAAAGTCACATGGGGAGAAAGCTCAGACAGTGAGCCAATGGGGTACTGCACTTGAGGTACACCATCTTGTATGGATGCCAAGGTTTTAAAAACTAGAGAAGTATGCTCAGGGTGTGTGTGTGTGTGTGTGAGAGAGAGAGAGAGAGAGAGAGAGAGAGAGAGAGAGAGAGAGGTCTTTAGGAATGAAGCCCTGCTCCTATCGGTATGAGTTTGAGAGTATGGGCTGACAGAACACCATTGCTACTTTTAATTTCTACTACCCTCAGAATGCAAGAAATGTTTTGTTTCTTCTTTCTATGCTTGTGTGAAGCTGTGTGCATGTGTCTTTCAAATGAAGCTATTGTTAAATCCCAACTGTATATGTTCTGATTGCATTTTAATTCCAGCAAGTGACCGAAACCTTCACATGGCAGGGGGGATCATATACAATACATTGTCATTTTTTAAAACCACATCTATTTTGAAGGCTGTTCACTATTTACTGCAGTTTGCCAATAATTTCTACATTACAGCCCTGTTTAGGGAAGTTTTAGTGACTGATGTTTTAATGTATTTTTAATCTTCTGTTGGAAACTGCCCAGAGTGGCTGGGGGAATCCAGCCAGATGGGTGGGGTATAAATAATATATTATATTCTTCTTCTTATAATTATTATTATTTTCTCACATCGACATAGGAAGAAAGAAACCCTAATAAATTTACCTGTGCCGCCTTGTTTAGATGTTACAGCACTCACTAACACACTGCCTAAAAGCTTAGAAACAGCAATTCGTACACCATAATTCGACCCTTCAAACGACTTAAAACACAGAGTTACAACACTATCCAGGTCTGTACTCCACATAAAACTTGCTTCGCTCTGCAGTTCAAGAAGACACTATACAAAACAAAAACAGGGAAACAAGAAAAGAAATAGGTTCAGTCTTTTTTGCACAAGTGCAATGCAATGAACTGTGGAGTGTCTTCTGCCAGTTTAAGCTGGTGGTCCAACTACCATCCTTATCTAAGCAAGAATAACCTGGCTAAAGTAATCATGTTCTACTGATCTCAAGACTGCACTACTGCAATGTGCTTTATATGGAGCTCACTTTGAAAATGGTTCAGAAGCTTCGATTAGTGCAGAATGTGGTTACACAACCATTGACAGGTATGAGGCAAACAGATCAATTTGTTTGTGGGGTTTTTTGAATTCTTGTATGTTGTAAAATCAATTACCGTATTTTTCCGTGTATAAGACTAGGTTTTTTCCTAAAAAATAATTTCAAAAGGTTGGGGGTGTCTTATACACAGATACATCTCCCTCCATTTTCTTAAATCAGAGTCCCCCCAAATAGGGTGCGTCTTATACATGGGGGCAACTTATAGACAGAAAAATACGGTATATAAATAAAATTATTTTTTTTTAATGAAAGGACTTCAACCTCACTGGTGTACATTATTTTAAAGTATTCTAAACTTGGCAGGGTGATCCACTTTGGCGACAAGATATTCAACAACTTCTGGGCCAGAGTGCTAATACAAGTTTGTAATATATGGGAATGAATAGTAACTTCAAATCACACAAATTCAAACTGTTTTTTTTAAAAATCTGTTCATGTGAATTTATACTTTGCTTATAAATTGACTGTACATTGAACACAGGAAGAGAACTTAAGCTCCTTGAGGAAAAGGTGAGATATAAATGTAAAAGAAAAAAGGAATAAAATAATAAAGCTTGACCCGATTACTAAAACATGTGCTTTTTACTTTAATCTGTGGGGCTTTATTTATACAATGGCAGTCAAGACTGCAAAATCCTATGCCCTTTAAAAAAAGGGGGGGGTTATTTTGTTTTTATTTTGATTACTGTATTGTTCGCTCTATAAGATGCACCAGACCATAAGACGCACCTAGTTTTTGGAGGACGAAAACAAGAAAAAAAATATTCTGAATCCCAGAAGCCAGAACAGCAAAGCAGCGATCCCTCTTGCTTTTCTGGCTTCTGGGATAGCTGCGCAGCCTGCATTCGCTCCATAAGACGCACACACATTTCCCCTTACTTTTTAGGAGGGAAAAAGTGAGTCTTATAGAGCAAAAAATACGGTATATATTTTGTGGTTTTATATTTTGATTTTGTTCTATGAACCACCCTAAGACCTCTGGGTATAGGGCGGTATATAAATTTAATCATAATCATGATAAAAAGTACGGCTGGATAAGATGTACAAATTCTACAATACAGGTTGCACAGAAAACTGACCAAAAATACAGCCATTTATGTTCATGGTGGAAAAAGCTTCCTAGCAAAATATTACATGGATGTATTTTTTACCAACTGAATTGCAAAATGTAAGAAAAATCTTTTCTGTGCCGTGAGAGAGAGGGAGACAATTGATTTTCTTTTATCCTCCATTTAACATATGCAACTGTATACAGGAAGATTAATTACTAAAAACAATTAATAGGGCACTTTACCTTTGCAGCAGCACAGCGAACTGCCATTGATCTATCAGTTAAGCATGAACGGGCAGCTTTGTAAATATCTCTGTGACATGGAATAGCAGCAACTCCCAGACCTTTCAATATATTTTGCAAACTTAGCATGATCTCATACCGCCCTTGAGACTAACAAGGCAAGAGAAAAAGGTCATGTGGTTTTCAACTAAAGGACATTATTTTATCTACTCATTAGTTACATTTTCATCCCATTCTTCCTTGAGCAAGTTTAGAGTAATGTTTTTAGCATTACTGAAATCATGTGAGGTAAGCTAGATTGAGAGATCTTGCCAAAGGCCCCCTTAGTGAACTTCATGGCAGGAGCGGAAACTGGAAGATTAATTATCTCACACAAACCGCAGCATTCTAGTCTCTGCACTATTTGAGATCTCAAAACCTGTAGGAAGAATACTCTTCTAAAACAAAACAAATTTATTTATGAAGTTTGATCCAAGACTAAAGTAGCTTTGCAAGTATGTTAATGAATTAATAATATTATTTCACCTTATACAATAATTTATGCTTATTTAAAATTCATTCATCCATTCAATTTATATTCTTCTCTTCCTCCCAAAGGAGCCCTGGGCAGCAGTAGAAAGATGATTCTAAAAATATGCACCCAAAGGTAATTGTCAAGCCTCATAATCAAACAGTACTCTCCTACTGGGAAACATTTTATTCTAATAACAGAAATAAGTCTTCTTTGGGCATTTTTTCCAACTGTCAACTCACCCAACCTGTTTCATGCTTCCTTACCTCTGCATTCTTCATTGCTTTAAGGATATTCCCGACAGTATCCACAAAGCTGTTGCCCAAAATTCTTCCCAGTTTTTTGTACAAATAGCCCAAGCAAACCACTGCAGCACTTTAAAAAAACAACAGAGAATTGGAAAGGGGGGGGGGGAATGGTAGTCAATCAACATATGTTTAACAAAATGTTCTTAGTAAATTATACGATGCCAGCATTTTATCGTGCACAACTGAAGCTTACAATTACAAAAAGCAATTTAGTATTAAATTACATAGGAAGTAAAGTACTGTATTGCTAAATTGCATGATCAACACTTAAAAAAAAAAGCTAAACTGATTTCACAAGCATACAGAAAAGAAAAAAATTGTATGATCCTCTTTCAAGGCAGTTCACAACTTAATGGATCTATCTGAATAAATAAATAAGCCAGATAACCAGGGCAGCCATGTTCGTCTGCTCTGTCACAAAACAACAACAGGAGGTCTGTGATACCTAACCCCCCACCAAACCAGCAAAGTGACATTGGCATAAACTTTAGTATCAGGCATGTCTGAAAAAGTAGGCTCTTGTCCATCCCTGTCAACATCAGTTAGCACAGCTGTATATCTGTCAGGGCACATAGCTGAAGCCCAACTGTAGTGAAGGGGAGCAACAGCCACTGTTGCTTACTGTTCTACCCTCCTGATTTGCCTTGCCACCCATTAAGAGTATGTCCAGCAAGTGCAAGCAATGGTGATGGCCATAACAAGCATCAAGCCAACATAAATGGGTGTGATGGACTAGCCCATGTGGACCTGCCAATGAGCAAAGCTACGAGGCCAGAAGGATCCCAGCATGCCTTTCCTATCTCATTGGCATTGAGCTTTCTGGTCCTCATCTGAGCCTGAAGGGATTTTTCTCAGCAGGACTTCCTCCTGCTCTCTTGTGATTCCAAGACCATGTATGCGTTCTACTCCCCCTTCCAAAGCCTTCTGGGACATTCATACCTTGTGAATTCATCTCCATAGACCTAGCAATGATAACATTTTTCATGGCAGTCTCTGCTACCATATCGGCTCAAACTCTCAAGCTGCACCAATGAATATGGGATCTGTTTGGACCATTCCTTTCCATCACCCCATTCTAGTCTCGTTCCTGCAAAGGGGTGTAATCAGAGAAAAGGACAGGAGGAAAGGCCTGTGCGTAGTACAGTATAGCAAGTGGAGCCCACTAAGACTCTCTTGCCTGGGTCGACAGAAACCGGAAGTCACTCCTGCTATCCGTTACAGAGCTTGTCACAATCAATTTGTTAGTTTTTATTTAATGCGCCACAGACACTTTGCTGTTTTAAAATGAAGGAGGAATATTCTAATAAGACTTCACAGGACCTTTCCAGACTTACAGTTTTGTCGGCAGATAGCTTGGTGAATCATCTTTACTGCGAATAAGTTCATTGCATTTATCAATTGTTTGGTGCACAGAAAAAGTGTCCCCAGTGCTATATATTATAGCAAGATTCTTGGCAATAAGCTGTCTGGCAGGAGGCCCTGGGGAACTGGTTAATAAAGATATCAGCTGTTCAACAAGTTTGCTCTGTTTTTCTTTTATATCAGCCTGAAAACATAAAAAGAATAAGTAGTTCATTTATTTATTTAAATTCATATACTGCCCTTCATCACTAGATCTCAGGGCAGTTCACAGAATAAAATATAAGATAAAATACACAAGTTTGGTTTTACAGTTAGAGACAAGGCTAAGTTCAAATTGTGGTTGGGTCTGAATGTGAACATCCTCTGCTTGAAAAGCCTCACCCCTTTCTGAACTAGGCTCAGACCCATTCAAGTCTAAGTCAGTCTCAAAATCGGATGCACACACACCACACTGCTTCTGCCATCTAGCCAACCCTTAACAGTCCCCTATCTTTGGCTAAACAACGACTTCTCCCCAGCACACACTGGTTAGGATTGTGGTCCACTTAGGAGATGAAAGTATTTTAAAAAGACAATTTTCTCAAAATGTTATTTCATTCCAGTTGTACAATACTCACCCGGCTGGTTGCTGGCAAAAGTTTTTCCAAAAACCTCAGCCACTCGAAAACAAACTCTGCTTTCTGAAATTCGCCCAGTTGGTTATAGGCCTCTTTATTAAGCAAAAAGCTGTGAGCCAACTCCATGCCTTAAAGCGTTTCTTTCTCACTATCTGAAAGCCACTCATGAAGACACAAGACTGTAGCTAAGGGATATTAGTATTCACAGGATGAACGAAATGGAATACCTGCACAAACACAAATATATTAAATCACAGAATGTTTAAATTTTAATGCTCAATCTTAAGAGTTTCTACTCCAGCAAAAAAAAAAAAGGTCAGATTGAGGTACACTGATCACTTTTGGTAGAACATTTGTAACATATTGCTGTATTGCTGTTATTTATTCAGTTTACACCCCATCCTTTCTCCCAAAGGAGCCCAGGGTGACACATTTCAACTGAAACAGAACCTGTGGAACAGTCACCAGCATCATAGGTACAATTTTATAGCTGCCAAACATCTAGAAAGGATGTACAAGGTATTTTGCTTCTTCTCAATAATGCTCATTTAGAAGACCAGGGTGCCATAAATTAATTTTCAGCACTGTTAACATCATATGCATCAGAAGAAGAGTGTTGGATCAGGCCAATAGCCCATCTAGTTCAGCATCCTTTTCTCACAGTAGCCAATCAAAAATGCCTATAGGAAGAAATACTGTCACAATACACCTTACTACTTTATGAGAAGAAATAATTATTTGGGAGTTTCAAGAAAAACAGATAAGCAGTGGTATCACAACTCACAGAGATTTCAAGCAGCAAGTTGCATTTGCTAATAGGCCCTGACCCACACTATTGAGCAAGCACACAATTAGCAATATTACAAAATTACATGGAAAAGGTAGCCAGGAAGGAGCAGTTAGACAGACCAGATCATGTGCATTCATATTTACTGTAACATTTGCTGCACACATCAAAATGGAATAGCTACATGTAACAATAAACACCAATTCTACATGAACAAAATGTAGATCAATATACACCAACATCCGACTGCTATAAATTAAGTATTTTTAACTGCAGAATTACACGTGTCAACAACACCAGAACCATCCTGGTTAAAGAAGGTTGACCACATCTTTTAACACACATCCCCTTGATCTGGAGACTCCAAGGACTGTGAAACACACAAACATACAAATGGACTAAAGAAAGAGCTATGCTTGAAAAATATATTCACCCAGGTTCAAATTACACCCAGAGCTAGTACTTGAGCTAGGAATACAACAGTACTTTAAATGACTCTATCTTCTGAGCATGAATCAGTTATATGACAAACCACAATTTATATCTGCTTTCAGTTTTAATTGGAATTTATAAAGGAGGATACAAAACGCAAAATCTGGTAAGTCCCCCCCCCCCCTTATCAAGATACAGAGGTTGATTTATTTCCTTCTGGAAGTAGATTTCCTCAGGAATACTGGTTATGGGGTACAAATACAGTATATGTATCTTGGATGGGGCAGAGGGAACAGAAAAAATAAAAAAGGATTCTCCATAGGACACAAGGATATCTTCTTTATTTTCTAACAGAATGAATTAGTGGAGGAAGGGAGGAATTTCTACAGCTCAGATGAGAGCTAAACATGAATGCAACTGGGCAGTCCAGTGAGATCTGATTATCTGATGTAATTCAAGAGAAAGGTCCTATTTATTATTTATACTGTTACGCTAGATGCTTTCTAAACATAGAAATAAACTCCTCTAGTGTACAATTTAAGTTATCTATAATTTACACTTAGGTTGTGATCTTTCTAAGCTCACTTAGGAAGTATTATTGAAATCCATAAGCTTAATTCCAGGTAAACACACAAGATAAGACATTTCTCACGGAATTTTGCAAATTGATCTACATAAAAATGATGCTTATATTTCTGAAGTTATATTTCAGGGGTAGCATGGCAAAGCAAACGGATTTATGAGCTGTGTGGTTCCTGTTACACTATTAGGGGCTATTCCCCAATGCTATATAGCTACTAGGTCCAAACTGGCACAAGCCTTTCAAAGATACGATGAGACATTTAATGCTATCCAACGCCTTAGGAATTGCAGTGGCATCTGATCCAAAATCTCCTAGCAATGTGTGTAGGCATAGCTATCTTTTTACCAGGTGCAAATGTGATTCTGCAGACATACCAAGGATTTGTTTCCACGATAGCCCGATGTACATGCCCAGTTTGCCACCTATACAATCAATTTGTCCTGCACGTATTGAAACAAAGTGTTTATATAATTCAAACCTGAGGAGTCAATCCTATACACTTACGTAGGAGTAAGCCCTAGTGAACAAAACAGGGTATACTTCTGAACAGACATGAATTTGATTGTGTTGTTACATTCTAGCAAACACATGAAGATAGTAAGGAGTTTAAGTGTTGTGTGTTTGGGCTTTAACTTAAAATCTATAAATTATCTTTGATGGCTTTCCATATTACTGTCTGGATAATTTATTCATGATTGTTTGAGTTTTCTCTTTTTTCCTGTGCATTCACAAGTACCACCAAGACTAAGTTCATCGTAAAGGTATGTCTTATGTGTCTTGTTTGTTATTACGTAATTTTTGTTTATTTGAGAAATCTCAATAAAGTTTTCTGGACAGGACTGGAAAAAAGCATAGGGAAAATATCCCTGCATCATAATGTATGTATGTAGGTATGTATATTATTTATTTAAACCAAGAAACCTTTTTACTGCCAAAAACTGTAACTTACGGGGAGGGGAAGTGTTGTGTGTATGTGCTGCAATTTCCATGCTTGCTCATATAAAGGAAACACCCTTTTTCTGACTAAGGATGCAATCCTAACTCTATTATCTGGTAGTAAGCCCAACTGAATTCCACAGAACTTACTTCTGAATAGACATGGCTAGGATTTCACTGTAAGAATAATTGCATACATATTTAAATGACGGTGCAACTGCAACAAGGAAATAAGATTGTTTATACAAGGTAATATTTTTTATTAGCAGGTGGCAGGGTATTAAAACTTCTTTCTACTGAAGAACATATACATTCATGAGTGGCATAACCTAGATAAACTCAACCTAAAGTTTCCCGCTTTCTCTGTTTCATTTTAGTGCATTCAGACTCTACATTTATGAGATTGTATCTTCCAAATTGACAAACCTAACTTGAAGTTATGATTGCCTTTGCTCTTGCATAGCATAGTTCATCTTTACTTCTCAGGACAAGACAATGTCCAGTTCTCCATTTCCAATGCAAACTTCAGGCTTAATTGATGCTGCTTATGTTGCCAAAACTGCACCGTCCACAAGAATGGAACCCTGAGGTTTGTGGAAATACCAAAAACCTTTAGGGCTGGGAAAACATAAGGAGAGGAGCACCCAAACACCCCATGAGTACTGAGTAGGCTCACTGGCCACAGAATGCTGAGTGGCTGTTGAGGGTGGGAAAGGAGGGTCTTTGAGGAGGGCCTGGCCAACTGGCTGAAACACACTGAACAAGAGCACTCCACCCTGCAAAAATTTGTTGCAGGTCCCACTTCTACTGTATATTCCTATTCCCATTTTGTCAGATGAAACAACATGTCAGTTCTGTTATTTGTAACTATGATAAAATAGCACTGGTAAATGTGATTGTAAAGAAATGGAATACATTTAAGGAACAGCTCCTCCTGATCTAAATGCCAAGTGCTATGTATTTTGCCTTCCTTTCACCACCTATCCCATAAAAAATATTAAATAAAACCTTTAGGTTCCTAATCCAGCCGTCCATTTTTCTTAACATGCTTTCCATATATGGAGGCCATAAAGATTTATTTTCAACGGGAAAGCTGTGCCTTTTTTACTTCATGTAGCAACTTTCGAATTCTCATTTGACACAGCCACATCAGCAACTAGAAACTGCTTCTGCAGCTTGGTAGATTGTTTTTGCAAAGTTGTGCTTTGCTCTTTCTCCCCCTTGTTCCTCAAAGAAAGGCTGCAATACTGCACATGTCACCATTCAAACATCACAAACAGCAGGGGCATCATTTTCTTGCTGGTATAAAAGAAAGGAGGATGTAGCATTTGACTTATTAGGAGTTAACTCCTAATAAGCATCCCTCCCACCAGGCAAACCAGTCAGTTACTGGTTACCAGGCTGTACCATATAAGTCAAGAGTCAGGCAAAAATACAGATAAAATGTAGACCACTCTGAGAAATATATTGATACTGAGCCATAACTGTGCAAGAAGTTTCACTGACTCTTTACTTGGAAAATTTCTGTGTGTGAGTGTTACCACCTGCTCTCTTTCATGAGAAACTTATGGGGGAAATGAAAAATGAATCCCACCTTTCCTTCAGAGTAAACTTTCCCAAACTGGCACCCTCCAGATGTTTTGGACTACAGGGATGATGGGAGCCGTGGTCCAAAACATCTGGCAGGTGCCGGGTTGGGCAAGGCTGCTCTGGAGAATTCATGATGGCAAAACTGGCAGTCTCCCATTCCAACGCTGGCTAGACTCAACCAGTGATAACTTTAACAACGTTGTTGCATCATGTGCCTTCAGACTATACTGTTGGTCTAAATCAGGGGTCTGCAACCCGCGGCTCCGGAGCCGCATGTGGCTCTTTTACACCTTTGCCGCGGCTCCGGGGCAGATACTAGCGAGGGGAGGAGGCGCATTGTGCGCCCTGACACTCCCCACTGTGGTGGGCGCTGTACTGGCTGTGACGTTGCATGGGGGCGGTGCGTGCGTTAGTCACGCACCGTCCCGACGTCACCTTCCCGGTTTTGCGGCTCCCAGTTTTTTCCCCCTTTGGAAACGGGTCCAAGTGGCTCTTTTTGTCTTAAAGGTTGCAGACCCCTGGTCTAAATGGATACAACACACACAGAAAGATATCCACTAGGCTGCATATCACAATATATACCAGCAGAATTAATACTTAGCCACTCTCATTTTGTCTTAGACTTTACGCAACTTTGTGTTCAATACTTCCCAGTAAACCACTGAACTGTGCTGATTCTGAACATGAGGCTGCCTTCAGAAGCAGCTGCTAACTGGGAATGGGTGCTGGAACTATGTCTTCTTGGTGTTGAATCAGCATCACTGACTCCTGATCCATTTCTGAGCTTAATTAAAAGTGGGGGTGCTCACTTTAAAAGTTTAAATACAAAGTACTTGTTGGATCATATTTTCCTATACCAGTCTGACCAATATCACCCTCAGAACTTTCCTGAGTGTGCCTCCATCTTCTAAGGTACGGAGGGTAGCAACTGGGGAGACAACCATTTCAGTTCTTTGAGAAGTTCTTCCCAGAGAAGATTTCTCTGGCTTCTACGTTGATGTCAACTTGATACCAGGTATTTTTATTCACCCAAGCTTAGGCACTGTTTAAGTGTTATCCACGGTGTCTTAATTATGATGAATGTTCATTTACTCTGCAGTTTTTCTGATTTTGTGCAGTTCATGTATCGTTTCTATTTTGCTAGAGTGAACCCCTCCTTCCAAGGATGTCCATGTGATGAAGGTGTAGCTAATCAATCACATGAATAAAAGCAACAGGGCATTTCCTAACGTGCACGCTCAAGATCTCTGTGTTGCTCCTTAACACACTACTGTATGCAGCTTTATACAATTGTAAGCCTCAGTGAGTTCAACTGGAAGGAAGATTGCAAGCTTTAAGCTTTTCTACCAACCAAGTGGTTACAGGGTGGTTAAAGGGTGGGTTTTTCCAACACTTTTGATCTAGGTTGTATGTACAATCTTCTCAGGAAGCAGTAGTGATTGCCACCGACTTGGACAGCTTTTAAAAAGGATTAGAGACAAATTCGTGGAGAATAAAGCTACCAATGGCTCCTAGCCACAGTGACATACTGACTCCATTGTCAGAGCAGCATGCCACTGAATGCGAGTCGCTAGGAATCAAAGAGTGTACAGGTGGGGGGCCTGCTGTTGTGCTCAGGTCCTCATTGCAGGCTTCCCATAGGTATCCGGTTGGATGCTATTGAGAAAAGGATGCCAGACCATTGCCCTAACCCTTTAGGGTTCTTGTTATGTTATGATGAACTCCAGATTGACTGATCCAAAGTAAAACAAAACAAAAACAAAGTGTCCTCCTAAAGCCCTGACAGAACACGTTTTGTACAAAGCAACATGATACAGGGCAGCCAGAATCTATTGTCCATTAGGAGCCTGTATTTATTTATTCCACAAGCTGCAAAATTACACCCTTACAACTTGCATTTAGTAAGTCTAGAATAGCTGGCCCCCCCATCCTGCTCCATACTCAGAATCAACAGAGGCATACAAAGATGATTACTTTACACATAAAAGTAAACATTCAAGGCTACCAGTCACCCTAATAATAAAAATTCGACAGTAAGTAACTCGTCCTCAGCCTTTAGGGACCTGTGCTTAGCTCTGCAGGCAGAAACTGGTGCTTATTCCACATATCCTGAAGGCTGACCCCACGAGGACTTCCACTAGCAGCTTTCCTGGGGGAGATAAGCGCACTTCCCTTGGCTTCCGGGGCTTGGGAATATCTCTTTTTCGACCCAAGCAACCCCAGCCCTTTATAAGAGGCTGACACTTTCCTTCCAACCCTGCTACACTTTCCTTCCTTGTCCGGAGGCTTGGCAAGGACACTTGAAAACTTTGAGGTGACGGGTGTCCTGCCTTTGGCTAGAAACCAGTTTCAAAGGGGGACTGGTCGCCGTTGTCCCCTCTCTCGACACCAGTTCTTTATTGAACCTAAAGTCTACCCCCAGCCCGCCTCACACTCCACCAGCGGGGAACTGACGCGTGTGTGTCCCCCAAGCACTGAATCCCCTCAGCCCGCCCCAGAAACCTCCCCAGCGGAACAGCTTACCTCCGACCAGCGCCCCGACGGGACTCCCAGCCGGCCAGGATCGGCTCCTGCGCCTCCTCTCCCCGAGAAAGAAAGAAAAGGAGGAGCTGCCTCCGCTCGCCGGCCTGCAGGCAGCTTCCGCGGGGGGAGCCGGGCTGCGTGGCTGGCTCCGCAGGGTGGGGTCCCAGGCAAGCCGAGCGCTCCCTCCGCTTCTCCCCTGTGAAGCAGGGAAGCCCTGCGCCCTCCCCGCGGATCAGCAGCAGGAGGACGACGACGAGGAGGAGGAGCCGCCTCTCGGGGCGCCCTCCCTCTTCCCCGCGGGAGCAGCCGCTCAGGGCCGTGCAATCGGGCCCCGAGCTATCGAACGGCCACGGCGGCCAAGCGCAGGCCTCGCGCCCCGGGAGAGGCTCCCGCGAGGAAGGCGGCGCGGCGGGCCAAGGCTCCCTTCTCGGGCGGCGGGGCTGCTTCAATTCGCAGCAGGCGCCCTCTCCTCCTCCGCACTGCCTGCTCTCCCCTCTCCTCTTTCTCTTTCTCTCTTCTGACAACGCTATGCTGGTCTGTGCTGTAGTGTAATCAATAGGCGTGCATATTATGTTTTATTTATTTTAACTCGCCTGAAAGGGGTGAAACCGTTGTCATTTGTTTTCGCAGGAATTATTGACGAAGCCGGATCCTCCTCCCCGCCGCACCATGTTGTCTTCTGTACTCACACACCTACTGCGCTCCCTTTGCCAGGGCTGAAAAGTCTCGGCCTCCACAAGGATGAATTGGTTTGGAGCCGGCCCCGGGCAACCACAGACAAATAACTCCGCTAGTTCCGCTCTGGAGTCAAACTTTTCTTTCATTCAGGGCCAGGGCCATTCCTTTCCTTAAAAGAGAGACTGAGACTGAGAGAGTTGGGCTTCACTTAGCAACCAAAAGATGACGACAGGGAAAAGAGTCTTTTGGGTTTTTTAGCCTGCATTATTTTTTTATTTTGAGAAAACATTTCCTTGTGGCACCGCCTTCTTTTAAAACATCCACATTCCCTCTTGCGCTGCCACAACTGCCCCCTTTGAAATACATTTGATCTGCTGCATTTGATCTAACTGTAGCCACACACACAATTCTGTTCACAGCCCACAAAATGTTTGCTTCTTTGGACTTGGATGTTCCAATGAACTCAGCAGGACACTGCCTGGTTAACACATTCAATACATTTCCAAGATACTTTGAAAAACATGTATGTGAACGCTCTTAAGTGTGATAATTGGATCTGGTCGTTGACAGAAACCCAACAACACAAACAGTAGCAAAACTGATTGTGATAGAAAGTCACTTGGGCTACCTGGAAGCAATAAAAGCATTCTAGGCAGTATTGAAACTTAAGTGGCTGAGGCTTGTTTTCCATGCAGGCACAGGTCAAAGTGCTGGTGCTTATCTTAAAAAGCACTCTACAGCCTGGGATCCAGGTTCCGGAAGGAGTCCCTTAACATAAGTCTTTATGTTACAGTGGTGCAGCAATAAAATTGCTAACACATTTGCAAAGTTAAGCAGGGTCCTGTATGGTTTCAAACTGGATGGGGAACATGCATAAAGATTCCTGCTTTGCAGGAATCCTTTCCAACTCTATCATTCTATGATCCCATGTTGCCCCAGCTGAGCTAAAGTAGGTGGCAGTTGGGGAGATGTCATTCTTGATTGTAATGATCTGCCTTTGGAATGCTTTCCTCAGAGATGTTGCCTGTTACTTATAAACCCACATAAAAGTGGATTGAGGTCTTTTTGGTGTCAGGCACCATATTATTTATTTTAATTGTATACTATTCACAACTGTGTGGTCACACTTTAACCCACAACATGAGTAAAATACCATAGATTCCTCAAATAGGCAGAATGCAACTCTGAGGGTCTCTAGCAGGCCAACCAAATCCCAAGTAAGCCTGGGTAAACAAATACACATTGGAGTTTCTGATGGTTTTATTCCTGAAGTGCCTTGCAAACTAGTCACATCAGGCTGCAGAGACTTCAGATGCTGCAGACTGTTAGGCAGGTTTCACCATTACCTTAACCACCCAGAATAGCTCTGCTGGATGGCAACTGAAAAAGTAATTTAGATTTGTTGCCATCGGAGTCAGAAATAAGTGTCTTCATGCTGGCCAACTTGTTTCTCCAAATTTGGTGGGAGCAGTAATGCCCACAGTTTGCTCTGCGTGTTTTTTCCAAGGCCAAAGTATCCCTACAAGCATTGTAATGATGACGGTTGACTGAACTCTATCCAAAAAAATGTGAAACAACCTGAGTCACTAGCTTCATTCACTTTGTGCTTAATATTACTCATAATGACCTAAGACAGCTGACTGTAACATGAAGGAGTTTTTTACCGTTAAATGCATGACTGGAGAATGGCGTTTACTAATGCATTGAATGAGCCAACAATCTGAAGTTCAATCCAGATAAGGCACTCTTGGTGGGTGGCTTCTTAGACTGGATGGAAGGGAGGTTGCCTGCTCCTGAAGGGGTTTCACTCCTCCAAAGGAGCAGGTATGTAGCTTGTATGTACTTGTATGTACTTCTAGATCCTTTGCTGTTGCTTGAGGCTCAGGTGGCCTCAGTGGGGTGGCTTGCCTTCCATCAGCTTCAGCTGGTGGCTCAGCTGCACCTCTAGCTAGACAGGGATAGCCAAACTTCTATTGTCTATGTTCTGGTAACCTCTAGGTTGGATTGTTGCAACACATTATCCGTAGAGCTGCTTCTGAAGATGGTTCGGAAACTTCAACAGGTGCAGAATTTGGTGACAAGGTTGCTCAACGGTGCAAGATGGTTTGAGCGTATTACACCAATCCTGACCCAACTGCACTGGCTGCCAATTAGTTTTCCAGGCCCAATTCAAAGTGCTGGTTTAGACCTATATAGCCTTACACAGCTCAGGACCGTAATACCTCAAGGACCAGCTCTCCCCATATGAATCAACCTGGACCCTGGGCTCATCATCTGAGGCTCTTCTTTGTGTGCCTCTTCCACATGAGGTCCAGAGGGCGGCAACACAAGAAGAGGCCTTTTCTCAGTTGGTTAGAGCAAGGCGCTGACAATGCCAAGGTTGCAGGTTCGATCCCTGTATGGGACAACTGCATATTCCTGCACAGCAGGGGGGTTGAACTAGATGATCCTCAGGGTCCCTTCCAACTCTACAATTTTGAGATTCTGTAGAGGCTCCCCATTTGTGGAATGCTCTCCCCAGGGAGGCTTGCCTGGCGCCTTCATTACATATTTTTAGGTGCCAGGCGAAAACATTATAACCAGGCCTTTGGCTGATTAACATTCTATGTCCTTTTATATGTGTGTGGGGAGGGATTATTGGTTTGTTTTTGTTTTATTATGTATTTTGTATTTTTATGTTGTGAATTGCCCTGTGATCTGGTTGGCGCTGTGGGTAAAAGCCTCAGCGCCTAGGGCTTGTCGATCGAAAGGTCGACGGTTCGAATCCCCGCGGCAGGGTGCGCTCCCGTTGCTCGGTCCCAGCGCCTGCCAACCTAGCAGTTCGAAAGCACCCCCGGGTGCAAGTAGATAAATAGGGACCGCTTACTAGCGGGAAGGTAAACGGTGTTTCCGTGTGCGGCTCTGGCTCGCCAGAGCAGCGATGTCATGCTGGCCACGTGACCCAGAAGTGTCTCTGGACAGCGCTGGCCCCCGGCCTCTTAAGTGAGATGGGCGCACAACCCTAGAGTCTGTCAAGACTGGCCCGTACGGGCAGGGGTACCTTTACCTTTAGATGAAGGGTGATATAAAGTTTTAATAAATAATAATAATGAGGGCAGCTGATTATTATAGTCTCCACAGTGCCATTCCACCCGCCCCTTGTCCGTAATCCAAAATATGTTGTAAGCTCTTTCTAATGCAGCACATTGCAATTGATTAAGCGCCTTACATTCACATTTTAATATGTATGGTATTAAGAAGTTATATCGTGACCAATATCCAAATACTGTTAAAAAGAACATGATGTACTACTATGAAATTCAGAGCAGTCAAATAGTAAAAGATGTACAGATCAAAGCTACGTTAGGGAATTTACTTTTGTTGATTTTGCAAGTAGTTTTTGAGAGAACACTGTAATATAAGCAAGTGGGGAGCCAACTAGTCATCTACTATCTCATTATATATTGGAATATAAAAGCCCATCATCAAGCAACATGCATGCCCCTGGAATGATAAGAAACAAGCACTACAAGAGGACAGAATAGAAATTATTTCTTTTCTGTAAAAGAGAGTAACTTGATCACATTATTCACCCCAGAGTATCACAGTGGAAGCAGCACACAGGTCAATGTCACAAACACTGGAAATTGAAGATTCAGTACTATTTCTTTACCATTAACAAAGTGTCTATATTTATGATGGGCAATGCTCAATTTTAAAGTCCAAAAAAAAGGAACGGGTAGGTTTTTTTGGGGGGGTGGGGGTGGCATACAAAGTGCTACCACCAAAAGCAGGAAGAATTACATTCCCTAAATTGCCTCAGCCACCATTTCTCACCCATGTGGATGCCACAGGGCCAATCTCTTCAGCTTGCTGACTCATGCATGGAAGGCTAAAGATCCAAAACAGATCCGCTGTTCACCCTGTCATCACCTGCTGCATCTTTCCTCAAAGTCTGTAATGCTCTGCTGCCGATAGAAAAGTTACAGAGCTATAGTTTGGTTCAAGGATGACCTAATCATTGGCACAGCCTGAAAGCAAGTAGAGACCATGAACATGTCTCTTCATCCTTCACCCTTATTATGGTGGACATCTTGTTTCTTTGACATGTTAAAGGCAAAGGGACCCCTGACCATTAGGTCCAGTCGTGACCGACTCTGGGGTTGCATCTCGCTTTATTGGCCAAGGGAGCCGGCGTACAGCTTCTGGGTCATGTGGCCAGCATGACTAAGCCTCTTCTGGTGAACCAGAGCAGCACACGGAAACGCCGTTTACCTTCCCGCTGGAGCGGTACCTATTTATCTACTTACACTTGACGTGCTTTCGAACTGCTAGGTTGGCAGGAGCAGAGACTGAGCAACGGGAGCTCACCCCATCGCAGGGATTCGAACCGCCGACCTTCTGATCGGCAAGTCCGAGGCTCTGTGGTTTAACCCACAGTGCCACTCATTAGAGTGCAACAAAAATAGAATCCTGGGAACTGGCTATTACTATACATATTGATTGATTTATTTGTACTTATAGCCCATCCATCACTGCCCCAGGGCAGGTTACAAAAAAATTAACAATAAAAGAAAAGGTATGAACTCAATCTACCTTGGCCTAGCAAAGCAGCACTGCAGAATAGCAGTATGTAGGAGAAGGGGGGGGATGTCTGCTCAGCCAAAGGCCAGGATAATGAAGCTTGTCTTGACTCAGTGTCAAAAAGCACCTGGTGATGGTGCAAGATGGACCTGATGCCGCAACCTGGGAATCTCCGAAGTGAAGGCCATCTCCTGTTCCATCACCCCTCAACCCACAGAGAGTGGTGGCATTACCAACAGAATAGATTCAAAGACAATTCTGCAGCTGGACCTCTTTTTGTCAAAAAACGAGAACCACTGATAGTCCCATACACGAAGGAGGAAGACATTTTGAGGCAATTTAACTCAAAAGAAATATATTTATTAGCTGGGCTTACTGAAATCTTTTCCTCACTCTCAAATGCTTAGAATCTATTTAACTATATTCCTTAACGCAACCGTGCAACATTCCTTAGGCAGTATGCATTTCCTTAAAAAATAAATCACTTTTTCCCTCCTCAAAACTCAATCATATGACTGAAAGGTCCATTTGTATCCACTTTCAACACCTGCCGGTTTCCATATGTGCCGTGCTTGAGAGCAACCCCAGCCTCTGCACATTTGGTATTTGCAGTCAGTTCTCGTTCGCACTGAGTCACAAACTGGGAATACAGCTCCATCCCGATTTCCTTTTCAATGTTGGAATGATACTGCATTCTTCTCCCCTTCAGTTTGCCACCCAGTGTGGCCTGGGGTATTACTAATATGCTGCCTGGCAAATCCAGAACAGAAACGTATTCGCCGCTTTCCGTTTCACTCAACTTCACATTCACGAGCGTATTGACTGCAAAGACAGAGAAGGGGAAAACAATTGCAGTTAGTAGGTTTGTGAAGTGATTATGCATTAGCAATGCGGCAAGTTAAATTCTGCCCATAAGGACAAAAGTCAAGACACAGGCACCGTGAAACAGGGATAGTACCTGAATTCCAATGTCCAGTTTCCTCTTATACAATAGTGGAGAAGAAGCCCATTTACCTGTACATTAGCTCCCTCTACTGGCTACCTGGTATACATTTATATATCAAGAAAAATGAGCAAGTAGAAATACTTCTAACTGAATTAGGCTTAAGCCCAATTAATTTAATACTTTTTTACTGTCTCGTAATGGGCCATGAATAAATACTTCTTTTGAACCCTTATTCTGAAGCCATAAAAGGGACAGCTATGTATTCTCACTTCATTTCACTCTCCTGGTAACCTGGCGGGTCATGGATTATGCTAAGAGACAAGTCTGTCCCTAAGCTTCATAACTGTGAAGGGATCTAAGCTGGGTTTGTCCACACTCATGCTTTGCAGTACACAAGGTGGTACTTTGTAATAACACAAGTTATTAACTAATTTGGAAAGACTAGTCCAAGCTCATAGGGTTGTATCCAACCAAACTGTTCTGTTAGTGCCAGGACTTGCACTTGTGCAGCAGAACTTCTCAATCTCCCTTCCTTGGTTCACGCAACACACCACCCTAAATCTGTCCTGGAGGAACCTACAGAACAGATTGGGGGGGCATGTGGGGGGAGCAAATAGAGGGGAAAATCCATTGTGCAAGCAGAAGGCCTTGTGCAATCAAGAATTCTTTGGAAAGAATTTTTAAGAATCAACCCCTTTGCTGCTCTTCATCACCCATATCATTTGCAAGAGAAGATGATCAAAAGGTAACAAGGCGCAAAGGTGTGAAGCCCTTTCTGACATGTTCATGCCGTGGGAGCTAAAGCCAGAAGTCTTTGGCCACAAAAAAGCTTCTTGGAAGAACAACACTGGCTACAAGCATTCTGTAAGGAGAAGGCTTGATACCAAGTGTGTGCTACTTAACAATTTTTATTTTCAAAAGAAACGGCAGTATAAAAGAAAAGGAGGACAGAAAGTAACAAACATAGTTACTGATTCAGGCTACATTTCAATACTGCCTCAAGCCTTAAGCTAAATATGGCACTGTATTAATAACACACTCTGCATCAACAAGCTTATTAAACAGCAAACCTCAATAAGAACAAGTTAATTAAAAAGCACATCGGACTTGTATGCAGAACGATTCGGAATGAAATACTTGCTTAGAACTTTCCCTGGAGAGCAGTTTTTAATGATTCAAAGCTTTTCATTACAAAAATCTCATGAAACAAGTTCTTATTACTATTTTATGATAGGCTCAATGATGCAGCTGCAGTTATTTGCATATTTTAGTGCTGTTTTAAAATGGCTGTTTTTAAATACTATTTTATCTAAACACCTACCCATTTTGGGAATAATTTCTTCACTAGCCCCTTTGAAGAAACATACATAGATTATAAGTCCTCGCTGTATCTATTCAAAATAACAAAGAAATATATTTACACATCCATATGCCCATACAATGTTTTTTACTGTAATTAAAGAGATCTATTAATATTGTGCATGAAACCACAATCCTATGCATGTCTTCTTAGACATGCATGAGACTTATTCCCTGGGAAGTATGTCTAGGATTTAAACCTTAATTGGAAAACTCATTCATTTCAGTAGATGTAAACTGAAATATTTCTGTATGCAAAATAAAAGCAATTTATTTTCCGTGTCTAGATTCTGAAGTAATAGGTAATCTAGGACTTAAAAGGTCACAAGCTAGATTTCTTTTTGTGGAAAGTTGTGGAAAGTACCGTAAAGACCACAGTCGAATAAAATTAAACATTTTTATATCTGGGATACATATTTCTTTGTGCCTCAGACATCATACGTTTAAAAACAACATCTTCCATGATAGAGAACTGAATGTTTTATTTTCTCTGTTTCTTGAACAAATAAATACAAAGTTACATAGTTTATTTTAAGGCATACATGTCTGATTTACACTCAAAATATAGTCTTAGGTTTTCCAAACTGTATTCAAATTGTTAAACAAAATCAGCCAAAAATCAGCCAAGCAGCAAGCATGTTCCATACATTGTTAGTCTCCGACTATCAGTTGAATCTCCAGTCAAAATCTTCAGAGTACAAATAAGCTGATCTCAGAATAAACATGAGCTATATTGAAACAATAATGCCTAATCTGCAGTTTAGGAAAAGATAATTAAAAACAAAATAAGCCAACAATAATATTAATCTCACTTCACAATGTCATGTAACATCTGGGGGATTGTGTAAAGATGATTTTAATAAAAGAATGATAACTATCCTCATTTTTATAGTGTTGCAACAACCCTGTAAGGTAGGTCAGAGATGAATTTGAATCCAATATGTCAAATCCAAGATGTCAAATGTTCACCGCTCCAGCTGCTTTCACAATATGCATGGCCTATCGGTCAATGGCAGACCGCAAGATTCAATTCCTGGTGTCTCCAGGTCAGACTGAGTCCTGCCTGAAACTCTGGAAATCAGCTGCTAGATGAACCAATGCAGTGGTTGTTCCTAAACTCTGTCCCCTGCTCCCCACAACCTGAAAATTGCTGAGGAATCGCTTGATTTTTCTGCCTGCTGTAACAACTGTAAAGTACTGTGCTACATGAATCTAATTGTATTTTTACAGACATGCTGTGGACCACCTGAGTGAAACTCATGGAGTACCAGTGGAAAAAAGTTTGGGCTGCTTCCCAAGTTTCAGTAGGGATGTTCACACATTACATTAAGCTGATGTACTTTCTGTGCACTTGTGTAACTACAGTCGAACTGCACCAATCAACGATTATGCACTCTTCTATACTAGCACCTGAGCACGTGCAGAGACAGCTCGTTCAGTGTAACGTGTGAAAAAACCTGATCTCTACACAGAATTAAGTCTCACCGAAATGTTAAATGTATATTTTTGTCACTAGGTAGTTCGCTCCATGACGATCGTTCCCCATGCAAAAAAAGAAAAAATGGGGAGGGGGGAGACGCCTTTGTAATGCTAAGCAAAACAAAACAAAACAAATCCTTCCAGTAGCACCTTAAAGACCAACTAAGTTAGTTCTTGGTATGGTACTATCTGTAACTGTAATGCTAAGCAATATGAGAAGAAACCGTGGCTTCAAACTTCACGCGTGAAAACGCCCACTATTCCGTTTCAGGATTTTTCCTGAGTTCCGGAAGAGATGGAAAAAAGCCATGGAAGCCAAGTACTTCCGGCACTTGGGGGGGGGGAATCCTCACGATTATTACAATAATCCGTATTGCCATTGGGACATCCTGATTATTTTAGGAAGCAAGCAGGGTGATGTGCAAATTGAAGATCAACTCGGCGGTGGAAACATCATCATCATCATCATCATCATCATCATCATTATTATTTTGGTGGGGGTAGGGACGAGCAGGCAGGCAGGCGGAGAAAGCGATGATCTCTGCTCGCCATGTCGGGGGATGCCCTATTGAAAGCGGGGCAACCCCGAGAGATCTGCCCGTGCAGACGTTACCTCCACCCACTCGGCTTCGGAGCCCGGCTCGGCAGGCTTCACCTGCAGCCTCGCGTGCAGGCACTGCTGCAAAAGGGCCCGGGCAAAAGGACCCCGGGTCGAGTCGGCCATGGTCCGCGGCGGAAGAAACCGGGAAAGGATGGCGGTCCCGCCTCCCAGCCCGCGTTTCTCCCCTTCTTCTCCCTGCTGATGCCCAAGGAAGCCGAGCGACAAGTGTCAGGAGCCTGCAGACGGGACTTCCTGGTTCCTTCTTGATCTCCCTTTTCACGTAAGCGGAAGTGAAAGCTGCTCATTGAAAACAGGATTGTGTCATGTTAGCAAAGCCTGGAAGGAACAGAAGCCAGAGATAGAAACCGGAATCGTGAAAAGTGCTCTGGAATCATTGGATGAAAGCACCACAAATACTTGGTCAAATAGCCACCGTTTATTTGTATGCCGCCTTTTGATTAAAAGTATATATGTTCAATGCAGCTTACAAGAGCAAATCGTGGCTGGAGGAGGCAGTTAGTGTTAGTGAGGTTGCCTTGCTGGCATGAGTCATGTAGGTGAAAAATGGTCCTGCAAGGTTGTTGTTTAGTCGTGTCCGACTCTTCGTGACCCCATGGACCAGAGCACGCCAGGCACTTCTGTCTTCCACTGCCTCCCGCAGTTTGGTCAAACTCATGTTCCTAGTTTTGAGAACACTGTCCAGCCATCTCGTCCTCTTATCATCCCCTTCTCCTTGTACCCTGAATCTTTCCCAACATCAGGGTCTTTTCCAGGGAGTCTTCTCTTCTCATGAGGTGGCCAACGTATTGGAGCCTCAGCTTCAGGATCTGTCCTTCCAGTGAGCACTCAGGGCTGATTTCCTTAAGAATGGAGAGGTTTGATCTTCTTGCAGTTCATGGCTCTCTCAAGAGTCTCCTCCAGCACTATAATTCAAAAGCATCAATTCTTTGGCGATCAGCCTTTTACAATTTTACAATTGCTATTGTAAGCTGCTTTGAACATATATATATATTATTAAAAATATATATGTTCAAAGCAGCTTACAGTAGCAATGAGAGGACAAATCTTGGCTGGAGGAGGCAGTTAGTGTTAGTGAGGTTGCCTTGCTGGCATGAGTCACGTAGGGGAAAAATGGTCCTGCAAGGTTGGGCCTTCACATTTGTTTTAAAGCTACAGTATGAACAGTTGATAATGAATGGAAAAATATGGGTAATTGGGGCTTATAATATGCAAATAATAAAGGAACATTGGTAAGAATACACATTGGTAGTGATGAAAATGGAAGATCTTACAGAATTCAGAGACAAACTAGACATAAGAGGCACAGAGATGCTGCTAGTTTATGTCAAATACAAACAATTTGTGCCATGAAATTACAGTATTGGGCATGTCTCACAAGCTGCTTGCCATTGATTCCTGAGAATGGGGAGAGACCTAGCACAATGGCTTCACATCACACTTTGTATCAGATGTTATAAGAAACAGCAAAGATGTATGCAGTGGTGACATCTTGTATTAACTATTATAACCCTTAATTTTTTTTACAAAAACATGTTGGAGCATTCTACCTGAATGTCAAATCTGCTAAGATTTATGAATATGCAGTGACTGGAAATAAATGGGAAAAGAATGCAAGAATGTATTAATATATCAAAATAAAAATCAGATGATGTAATGCAATGGGGATATGGAAAATTGAAAGCACTTAAATAACTTTCTCCAGATGTGCTGCTTCTCCCGGTTTACTGCTTTACTACCATGTGATACGCAAGAACCAAAGGTCACATTAATCACACCAAACAAACTAGTGATCATGTTACAAGAGTTCATAATGATTTTGCAGAACATCAGTTCTTTCCCCCTTTTTTGCTGGTACTTAGGGAATATTGTACTGCAGACATAAATAAGCTTTCTCTGTTGGTGTGTGTGTTCATGTGCATGCAGAAAAGCAGCTTCTGTAACAGCAACACATATGCAGTACTGCTGGAGAGAAACAGGAGAAGCGAGGTTTAAGTATTTTAAATAAACATATTTTTTTTTAAAAGAGTGGTGGCAGGGAAGATGAAGGCAGGGAAAGGTAAAATAAGTGCAAACTGCATAAACGGCAAGACAGTATATTTGTTTGGAATCATTTTTTTTGTCCTAAATGCACAAATTTCAGACACACCAAAAATGTAAATATAATTACATACAAGGGTAACTTCTATTGATCCATATGAAGAGGCTACCAGTCTGGTTCTACATTAATATGCCAGAGTAAAATTTAAACTAGAGGTGGGAAACCATTTTTCAGCCCAAGCGCTGCATTAATTTCCAGACAACTTTCAGAGGGCCACATGCCAGTGTAAATTCAAATGTAAATTTTACCTTTGTACAAGTAGGCTCGTTTTTATACACATTCCAAACCCTGTTTTGTTGTTTAGATTGCAAGCATTCAAAGAGACAAACCATCCAGGCAAAAACACTCACAGTGCAAAGCTGGAGCAGTGAGGGGTGTGTTTGGAGGACCAGATAGAGAGACCTGCTCTAGTCTAAATGGAACTTTGCATCTCAAGGGCTGAACAAACCGCTCTTCATGCACTCTGACTGTGAAGACCAGATTACTATTTTAAATATTTCTATCTCATTTTCCTCCAAGCAGTTCAAGGCAGCATACATGGCTCTCCTGTTCTCATTTTATTCTCAGAACAACCCATTCAGCTAGATAAAGACTGAGAAAAAGTGATCTGCCCCAACATCATCCAGTGAGTAGAGATCTGCAGCAGCCTCATACCTAGTCAACTAATAATAGGGACATGCACCAAATACACATCCACGCATCATCACACAAAAGACAACACCTGCCTGCCTGCAATCCATCAGCCCCAGAGGCACAGCTGGCACTGATCCTGTTACACCCAGTCCTCACACATCCCTGCAGGCAGATATTTGAGGTCACCTATGCTGCTCACACTGTTTTAGAAATTTGTGGGACATTTTTGCCTATTAGCAGGCGCCTTCTGTGCCAACTTTTAAATCCCTGCTGAAAACGTTTCTATTCTGCCAGGCTTATGCATGCAATTAAGAATGCATGTTTCCACAATGGTTAATTGATGTCTGTTTTTATAGTACGGTTTAATGTTTTATTGCTGTAAATGGCTTTGATTTTTTTATGACATATTTTTATAAACAAATAAAAGTAAATATTACGAGTGCTATTCTATTCTTTTCCATGAGAGGGAGCATGATGAAAACCCTTCAATTAAAGAAAATGTCAAAGTAGATTAAAAGCTCTGCTTCCCTGAATGCAAGGGGGAAGCGGCTGCTTCTTACACAAGTAGCTGCTTCTGCTGGCTTCCATAACTACCCTCTCTCTTTGGATGGATGCCAAGGTGGTGGATCTGTTGCACCTTGTAGGGAGGCAGAGGAAGAAGAGGGGGACTAAGCAAGCAAGGAACCAGAAGTAACCAGTTCCCTCTGAGCAGTGCTATTGGGCCCTCGGGGAATGGGTGCATATGAGAAAAGATATACAAAGCACAGCCAGTGCCTGCTGGTTCACACAAGACATTCAGAAAGAGATGGTATTAGTTAAAAGCCAGCCCACCCTCCTGCTGTGTATTTGGTGATGGTGCTAAGCCTAGTCATCAGACTGCCAGAAAAGGAAGTGTGAGAGCAGGGGTTGGGTCCCATAGGGAAAAGACGGGCAAAATATTGGAAACAGTAGCAGCAGCTTTTTCAGGGCCAGCCCAAGACATTTTGTTGGCTAAGGCAAAGAACCAGTGTGGTGTAATGGTTAGAGTGCTGGACTATGACCAGGGTTCAAATCCCTACTCACTGGGTGACCTTATGCCAGTTACTATCTCTCAGCCTAATCTACGGTACCTCATTGGGTTGTTGTGAGGATAAAATGGTGGGGAAGAGAATTATGTATGCCACCTTTAACCCATGCAGGTGGCGCTGTGGGTTGAACCACAGAGCTTAGGGCTTGCCAACCAGAAGGTTGGCGGTTCGAATCCCTGCGACGGGGTGAGCTCCCGTTGCTCGGTCCCTGCTCCTGCCAACCTAGCAGTTTGAAAGCACGAAGTGCAAGTAGATAAATAGGTACCACAGCGTAGGAAGGTAAACAGCGTTTCAGTGAGCTGCTCTGGTTCACCAGAAGCGGCTTAGTCATGCTGGCCACATGACCTGGAAGCTGTACGCCAGCTCCCTCAGCCAATAAAGCGAGATGAGCACCGCAACCCCAGACTCATCCGCAACTGGACCTAACGGTCAGGGGTCCCTTTACCTTTAGAAAAAGGTGGCATATAAATGAATGAATGACCTCTCCATGTACAAAAAAGCCGACTGGAATGAGTTACTGTTCTGCAAGAAAGGCTTCTACATGTGCTTCCATGGGAGGATGGAGGCAAGACCTTCTCATGGTCACCACAACCACCCTGCAGTGTGTCCCCACAGGTGTGCTTTTAATGCTTTAGCGATTTTGTCTGTGTGAACCCACCCACTCTGCCTCTCTCTGGGCAACAAACTCTCTGGGCAAGCATGATCCAGACAGGCAGGAGGCACTCCTTGCTCATGAGAGCACCCCTGCCCAGTAGCAGAATTACCCCTTCATTTCTGCACATCTTTGAGTTTTTCAGGAGAAAAGCAAATGCCATTTGCTTTCCACGCTTGAGGGATATGCGGTGTTGCTGTGGGCTGGCCCCAACCTCCCACCAGCCATGGACCCTCAATAGTTGCTGGCCAACGATTGATCACATGTGGGCCCTCGGTAGCTTCCTAACGTGACACTGACCCCTGCATACCAATCGTCTAAAGCCAAGGCAGTGCTAATAGTCTTTGTCGCTAGAAAGGGGTAAGTCCCATTTGTTGCTTTTTTGCTTGCAGCCTCCGTTGCCCGCCCCTTTTGGGGGCTGGGCTGAGGCGAGGCTACGCAGATCCATCGGCAGGCGCTGGGAGGGGTGCTAGGATGGTGGCGCGAGCTTATGCATTGGCGTTACAAACTGCGAAGAGAAAAGCCTTGCCATGGCTCCGGCCAGGCTGGGGTGGAGCCGCGACCTCGGCTGTTTCCGCCCGATTTCGGGTAAGTGACGCGTGGAGAGCCATTTTCATTTTGGACAGGAGTTTTGATGGGCACGATGCAGGCGGGAGCTCCCGAGCATGTCGTTGTGCGGTGCGTCCTTTTCGTGCCTGGTGGATGAAAGGGGTTCTAAACAGCGGTTGGCGCGAGCTGTGAAATCCCCTTTTCAAATTAATTGCACTGCACACCCGCCTTTTTAAAGTGTGTTGGTGAGATTGGTTTCAAGTGACATTTCTACAGCTCCATACGAAGGATTGTTTGGGGTTTTTATTCCTTCTCTTCCTTGTTCACGTTCCAATCCCTCTAGTTTATTTTACCAATCTTACTTTTTTACTGTCTCCAGTTACTTTTTGCACCACCATTCAATAACCATAATTGCATCTAAAGACTCACGCATGTACATTTGCATTAACTCTCACATAGATATGCAGTATATATAAACAATCCCCTCCATTCCTCTTCCATGGACACATTTGCCCATATTCTCTGTTCCACATGCACACTGCTTCCATCTGTCCGGGTTTTCTTCATTCCCTTTTTCTGAATTCGCACCCAGTTCTGCTGCTACCTCCTCCCTCTCGCACTGTACTTTCTTGCTATTGCTAATCGGAATGTGTTTCTCTGATTTCCTTTCACTTGCACACCCGCATTTTCATTCTTCTCTGGCAGATCCTAGGCTCTGCTGTGTGAACAGACCCAGTCACGCAGCAAACTACCCTGCGATTCTTAGTTGCACGCATTCCTCTTACACTTCAGGAAGCACCGTCTATGCCGAGGAGGTACTTCCGCCTCGCCTGCAGCCATTTCCTGTCGGACCGAGAAGGCACCTAGAGGTGCCTCGCTGGGCGGCGATTCTATCGTTTTAACCGCTTGCAGGCAGAAGCTTGCTTTTGCTAGATAAGCTGCTGTCTCCAAATCTTCTGTAGCTTCACTTGAGAGACGCCACACGGGCATGCGTGATGTATTTTGATATGGAAATAAGAGGACTGAAAGCGTTGTTAGTTGCTGGCAGTCCCTCAAGGATGCTAAAATTACTGGCTGCAAACTTTAAAAAAATGGTAAGCTTTCCTAGTTATGCCCACACTTGTAGTTTGACACATCTTATTGGTGTCACGCTTGGCTTACAAACGTGCCCTAGGCTAGAGCAACACAGAGATAACAGAAGTCTTGCAAGGCGTCAGACGAAATAAACTTGCCAGTAATTTTAGTGGAGGAGCTGGAAACTATTTTTCTATCTCTTTCATACACAGATTTTGGTGTATGAAAACAGTTTAGAATTAGCACGTTTTCTGTTTTGTTTTCAGTCCTCAAATGCAAACGATGAGGTCCTCAAAGAGAAGCGTAGCAAAATCATGGCTAGAGGACTTCCAAAGCAAAAACCGATTCAAGGAGTTAAGCAGGTGTTGGTTGTAGCTTCTGGAAAAGGAGGTGTTGGGAAGTCAACAACTGCTGGTAAGTTCTGTGTATTTGATTCAGAATATTATTTCCCTTTTATTTGCTTGTAGATATAGGTGTGCGGACTTAACAAGCTCTTATCTAACAATGTACACTTCCACTATATTTTACTTTTAGTTTGGATTTAATTTGAAAAGGTTTTTAAATAAATGTTACTCAGCCTGAAATAAGCTGTCAGATATAAGCAGAGTTCTTGTTTCATTGTTATTTGGTACAATTTGTGATGCTTCCTGGATCAAGTACACAGTTGAAACTAGTTCAACAATTATTCTGGGAGGGAAAGAAGCTACACTGAGAAATTATCCTCATGTTCTATTGACTTGAGTGTGTCCAAAAGTTTTATTAGAGTGTGAACAAAAGTTTCCTCTACAAGTTGCCATTGTTTTGTTTTGTTTAGGCAAAATAGCTAGAACTAGAAAACTAAAAACTAGAGACTCAAATTTAAACTAGTGTTCATTTCCTAATACTTTAATTTTTCTTTTATTAGCTTAAAAAGTGGCTACTCATTGATTTACTCTGACTTGGATGGTTTGTAGATCGTGCTGTTAATTGTTTTGTTTCAAATCTACCCTTGGAGTAAGCACATAGTGGAATATACCTCTAAGTAAACATGTACTAAACAAAATCTAAATTTAATCAGTTTAATACTAAGTCTAATGTGAAAGTAGCCCTTAATTATAATTCCATCTGTTGTGACATTTGAATAATTTTAAGCTCTTGGTGTTGTTGTTTTTTTGGCTCACTGTTCTGAAGCTGTATTTTAGACAGTAATATAAATTGTCTGAAGCACAATCCTATATCTGTCGTCTCCCATTGAACTTATTTCTAGGTAACTGCATAGGTTTTAAGCCTCATTTCATTTTAGATATTGTAGACCATGAAAATCCTGACTTTCAAATAGCAAAGAAAGGGAAAGAGTCATTTTAGGATTGTCTGTGACTGATTTTTATTAGAAGATGCAACACACAGTCATTAGGTTTGAGATGAATCTAGTGGAAGAAGGGAAATACTGACTTCATACACTTCCAAATAAATTCTCCAATTAGCTATTATGGGTTAGGAGTTTAGGTTCTCTTATGAATCAGCAGCTGTTTAAGAAACATGGAAGTAGGAGATAGGAATAAATCATTTTTACAGTGAAGAGGATTATGCAGTGCAGTGTCCCAATGATTTGTATTGGGACCCATACTATTTTACTTATTCATAAATGATCTGGAGTCAGGGGCTTCTTTCTTAGAAGTGATCTCATTTCCGAGAGGCTGATTCTGCTAATTTTTGTGTTCTCTTTTCAGTAAATGTAGCCCTTGCACTGGCAGCAAATGATTCGGTAAGTAATTGCCTGATTATTGTTTCAATATTGCTAAATATACAAATTGATAAAAAGTTACACAGATATTAATAAGCACCTTAATAGCTGGTATATAGGCAGAGATATTTTTAAAGGTTGTTTCTGAAATAGTAGTTTTAATTTCAGTAGCTAGCTTCAAATGATATAATTGAAAAAAGACACCATTTCTTCCACCAGGATTCTGCCTAATACTCATCTTCACTGTGGTGCTATTTCTGTTGTGCATTCTTATGAATTTCACTCCCTGACTCCTATCACTGATAGGGAAAACTAGCTTTACATTAAGTAAATCTGCGTATTTTTAATGTTACAATAAATTTCATGATGTGGGTACGTGTGTGTAGTTTTCTAAGGGCAAGGTTCACAGGGCCCTATGAAAATGATTGCTAGACTCACCTTTTAATGTCTTTACTGAAGTACATTTGTGAAATATGTCTATACTCTAATAAAAAAATTCCAGTTTAGAGAATTCAAAGCACTTCACATACATTATTTCAGTAAGTCCTTACAGAAACTTGCCTAAGAGCAACTGTATGCCTATTTAACTGGATATGTGGTTTGTGACAAAACCACATATCCAGTTAAATAGGCATACAGTTGGAAGACATGACTAACCCCATGTCTGCTCTATATGCATGCTCTGGAGAAGATGTTAAAAATCCTGTGTGTGTGTGCAAACTATATTGTAGACTCTGCCTATCTATTAACAGACCCTGGCTATTCTAGGGACTGTGATCCCAGGGACAAAACTTAAACATGCACGTGTCTGTATGTTCATAGTCTCTTTAAAATGTGCAGATTGGTCAGAAATGGAATTGGAAGTTGTGCTTCTGATGTATATTTCTTTCTTTCTTTCTTTTTTTACATTTATATTCCACTTTTCTGTCAAGCAGCTCAAGGTGGCATACATGATTTTTCCTCCTCTTAATTTTATCTTCACAACAACCCTGTGAAGTATGCTGCGCTTAGAGACTGTGACTGATGGAAAGTCACCCCTTTAGCTTCATGGCTGAGTGGGGATTTGAACCCTGGTGGCGCTGTGGGTTAAACCACAGAGCCTAGGGCTTGCCGATCAGAAGGTCGGCGGTTCGAATCCCCATGACGGGGTGAGCTCCCGTTGCTCGGTCCCTGCTCCTGCCAACCTAGCAGTTCGAAAGCACGTCAAAGTGCAAGCAGGAAGGTAAACGGCGTTTGCGTGCGCTGCTCTGGTTCACCAGAAGTGGCTTCGTCATGCTGGCCACATGACCCGGAAGCTGTCTGCGGACAAATGCCAGCTCCCTCGGCCACTAAAGCGAGATGAGCGCCACAACCCCAGAGTCGTCTGCGACTGGACCTAATGTTCAGGGGTTCCTTTACCTTTACCTACCAGGTTTAACACTCTAACCACTAAACCATATTAGCTCGCTCTTTAGTTGAATATGCGAAAAACGCAAGAGCTGAAATTGGAATTGGGGATTTCTGGTTCATTGCTCAGTCTCTAAGTCACTGCTCTTTGCTATTTATGCCTGGGTGATATAAATAAGGTTTAGTGGTGCAATGCAGTAGGCAAGGTGGTCATAATATCCCCTGTTGGCATTTAAGAAAATAACACACATTCCATGTGAATGAATAAAAAATGTCCCTGAAACATGGCAGTATTTGCAGCAAATATACTAGTATTAGAACAAGGCTGTCAAAACAAGGTTAAAATGTACCGCGTGAATTTAACAGTGAAAGTTCAAGGCTCTTGAAAAATCTGTCAGGAAAGGCAGAGGCAGAACTTGAGAGTAGCAGATGTTGCATTAATATTTGATACAGAAGTAAATTTTTAAAATCATTGTATTGGAATTAATTGCTTGATTGACACTAATAGGAGTCACCTGGCAAGTTCTCAAACACTGCATAGAAAGTGTTTCATAATTAATGTCTGGTGTTATTGCAGTGAGTGAAATTTACGATCGTGACACAATGGGTTAGCAAACAATGAATCATCTTTGTTTATAGCACAGTGTATGCTGTGTGTGTGTTTGTGTAGTTCTGCTGTACCCTCAAATAGGAGCTGTACAGTCATTATTCTTCAGTTTATTTCTACGTCATTAAAATAGCATTTTTAAGAACATGTCGTCATGTTACATTTCCCAAGTACTTACTGATCACAGAAGTTGGCATGATAAATGCGGCGAGTGGCGCAGAATGTCAGAGAGTGATTTGCAGAAATGATCTTTCAAGTTCCTGCTCTAATCTTGCCTCCTGCCATCAGATCTCACTTAATTGGCCTTGGACAAGTCACGGTTCTCCTAGGAGATAAAGATAGCCCTCTTCAGCTATTCTCCCTCAGTGTCACATAATCACCATCTATTGAGAGCAAGGACCGAGCCTGTTGGCCACTGCTCTCTCTGTTGCATCGTTGTGGTCAATGTCACCGCATTCCATGTGCTGTGAAAGAGTCCCTGCAGTAGAGAGCCTGCTATTGTGTAGGCTTCCTGTGTGATTTAGAACCCTGCTATTTATTTCATTTGACCTCACCATTTCTTCCTAAAACTGTGTGTATACATACACACACTTCTCCACCCGTTACTCAGGATAACACTTAACGCATCTGAGGTTGACTAGTCAGTGAAAGCTTATACAAAAATAAACGTGTTAGTCTTGAAGTTGGTTTGTTGCTTAAATTTCAACCAACTAAGAATATACAAGGTAAATTGAGGTTGTGGGGTTGCTTTTGGCTCATCTTTAAAAGTTGATGGCGCCGTATTTACAATGGTTTAGAAATGCTAGATTCGTTCTTAACTTGCAGTGGATCTTGTGTATCAGGGATGGGAGGTTTAATAATAATAATAACGTTGTTGATGATGATGATGGTGATGATGATGATGATGTTGTTTCACTTTGAAGCCCTATTGGGGAACTAGAAAAATATATAGCCTAAATTCACCACAAGATTAGTTTGTGAATTTAGGCTAGACACAGGCTTGGCTTTCTCATTTGCTACAGATACTAGATTCTTCTTATCTATTTGATGGAAAGACATTTGCTGTTATTTCCTGCTGGCAGGCAGCACTGCAGGGATCTTGTGGTTTGAGGTACTGAAGGATTCCTAATGCTAACACTAATAACTCTTACTCTGCTTGTGTCTCAGAACTATAAATCTAGTCTTAGGCTTAGAAATTCCAACTTGCCTAAGAACCGACTAGTTTATTAATGCTGTGCATACATGTAGAACTGAATCTTAATTATTGCAGTTTTTTTGTTATAAGATCTTTTGTTCTATTGGGCCCGTAAGACATACCCAGACAATGGTTTCTTGTGCACATGGTTGGACAATTGTGTGTTAAACCAACAACATGAGAAGCTTTCAAAAATAGTATGTTCATAGTTTCCATAGTGCACATGTGGACTAGGAAGATCTCTCTTGATTTTCAAACCTGCCACATAGACATGTCTGTACTTTACTGTGGACGTGTGCACTATTTCAGTTTGATTTTCTTAAATCTACAAAGGTAGAGCTGACTTTAGTACTTGGATTCCAGAGCTGTTCTGAGTTTGTGTATGTGACTACTCACTGCAGATGAAATAATTTAGTTGATGGAAGATTCTGATTCAGTAACGAATGTCAAGGTCATCCATGTCAAGTATTGCTTAAAGCAAAGGGAGCATTCGGTCCAGTCCTGGCTTTCTGGATCTGTAACAACTTTGAGTTACCAAATCATTACAGCTGGCTTAGTTAATTAACGACAAGAATGTGCAGTTCTCCGAGGCTGTACTGAGATTTCTAAACTTCTGCTGCTTTCCCCCTGAAGCGAATGGGCTTTGCCCAACTATCCTCCTTCTTAACTGCTTTTTTAGTTTTGAGAGGAGATTCTTTTTAACCCTCAGAAATGGCAGAAGCCAATTCTACTCCCCCAGGAGCCCTGTAGGAGAACTTTTGGCTTTTCTGTCAGGCTCACTCGCATTCACATTAGGACAACTGTGTATGAAAGCTGCATTGCCCCAGACAATTTATTATAGCAGAAAGAACTCAAATTAATAGAAGCCAGGCATAATACATCAAGATTGCTTGTTTAGGAACACTGTAGTTTAGTGAGCAAACACCAGCTGTGCATGACTGAGGATGGCCCAAATCCAGTTGGGAAATTGTGCTTATGCTGTCATTGTGCAGAAAAACTACCTATTCAACCTGTTTTAAAAATTCTTTTTTACTAAGGGCTGTGATCTAGCCAGCCTCCTCCCCACTCCCATTTTTATTTGTGGCAGTAGAAGAGTACCCTTGAGGTTCTTGCAGAAAATTAGTTTTATATATAAATAAATGTGTGCCAACTACAGCATAGCTGAGTCAAGTATCCAGCACTGAAGATTATATGCAGCTCATTTGTCTGTGTGCAATCAGCACAATCTTGCATGAGACATTCATCTTTGGTTGGTTGCCATATTGCCTTTATCCCAAAGTATAAAATGCACAGGTAAAAAAACCCTATACTTTGCCTTTGGAAAACTATTGCCTGAGAGAAGGCAGTCATTGAGGGTTTGGGAGAGAGAGAGGTCAAATTTCAGAGAGGAAGATGGGGGTACTCTTGTCACATCGTACATCCTGGTCCCAAATCCACTTCCATACAGTCTAACGCCAAAATGCATGCTTGCACACACCTGCACATAGCCTGAAGGCTCTGTTGAATTTTTTCAAGGAAACCCCCAAAATTGTTGCTTTCTTTAGGAAAAGCTGAAAGTTGTTGAGCTTTTGTTAGACAAACACCAACCAAAGTTTACAAAAATACGATTTATTTTTTTTACTAAGCTCCAGGACAAAGTGCCTCCTTTCGGAAATTCCCCTCGGACGTCAATTCCACCTTTGAAATCCCAGTAATGTCCATGAAAATCTGGACATATGGCAGCCCTAATTCATTCACAATTCCACAGCCTGTCTTACAGCGGCCTGTAAAGCAGACAGTATTAGTAAACTGGGCCCTTCTCAACTCAGAGATTTATGGAGACTAGGCAGAGAA